CAGACGCTCAAGGGCCATGGCAGTAGGGTTGACTCTGTAACCTTCTCGCACGACTCAAGCAAGCTGGCGTCAGCGTCAGACGACAAGACTGTCAAGATATGGGATGCGAGCAGCGGCGCGTGTCTACAGACGCTCAAGGGCCATGGCGGCGATGTCACGTTAGTCGCATTCTCGCACGACTCGAGCAAGCTAGCGTCAGTGTCAGACGACAACACGGTCAAGGTGTGGGATGCGAGCAGCGGAGCGTGTCTGCAGACGCTCAAGGGCCATAGCGATTATGTCGGGTCTGTAGCCTTCTCGCACGACTCAAGCAAGCTGGCGTCAGCGTCAGACGACAAGACTGTCAAGATGTGGGATGCGAGCAGCGGCGCGTGTCTACAGACGCTCAAGGGCCATGGCAGTAGGGTCAACTCTGTAGCCTTCTCGCACGACTCGAGCAAGCTGGCGTCAGCGTCGCACGACAAGACCGTCAAGGTGTGGGATGCGAGCAGCGGCGCATGCCTGCAGACACTCAACGTCGGTACGATCCGGTCCAACCTATCCTTCAACTCCAACGACACTCTTCTTCAAACTGATAGAGGAACCATTGCTATACACAGCTCCGGAGCTTCTAGCGAACTCACTCCCGCAGAAACCCCTCCGACAGAACCCCCTCAGACAGAATCTGAGCACCCTCTCATTCTAGGTGTAGGCGTTAGCTCTGATCGTATATGGATCAAGCATGAGGGCAGAAAAATACTGTGGACACCTTCAGAGTATCGACCGTCATGCGGTGCGTTTTACGGGAATACAGTCGGTATGGGTGTGGCGTCTGGCAGAGTGTGGATCTGCAGTGTTGACCTAGGGGCCCCGCATGTGTTCTCAGCAAATTTAGGCAAGAGGTGATCGTCTCTTCCTGTACTTCGCTCTTCAGTGGCCATGACTTAAGTATACACAGGGGACACGCAAGTCGCATGTTCTGGCATAGCTTGCAACGCTCTTTGGGCGACGACTGATCCCGACTATTGGACCTGTGTTTAATGCTCGCGCTGTTTTCGGTGCTGTGTGCAGCATGGAAAGCCTGCAGTAGAGATCGGATAACCAGACTGCGGGCATCTATGGATACCACACATCAGTCACGTGGTGTTGACTACTCTTAGAGAGCCGCCAGCTTGCACCACAGCTGTTCTCAGCAATCGTCCTACTGAGGCATAGCGTCAAATTCATTACGTTATCTTACAGCAACTTCTCAGCACGCTACTGCAAGCTGCTGCATGCCAAGAGCTACTACTAGCAGCGCATGTCCGGTCAGACTCGTTTCGATGATCTTGCCCGTCCGCGTGGAGAAACTGCCGGGATGCACACTCCTTAAGTCGATCCTTTGAGTCTGCAGTCTTGATCTTTGCCATCTTGGCTTCCTTTCTAGCCTACCGAGCTCTCTACAAGTGTGTACTGCCGCGAACGAACAGGGGTGCATCAGAGGAGAGTCGATGGACGGCACTGACAGAACGAGCGACAGCATAGTCAACAATGCGCTTTTCGGCGTCGGAGGCTGATATGCTGGGAGAACGAGAGATACGGAATGGATACGCTTCGCACTTGGCTATATACGAGGATGTTGCAGGCGATCCGACCGTCCCGAAGAAATATTGTCCCGTTACACCGGGCGTCCCGGCACGTGGGGACGGAGGTTACTCATTTATATTGTCCCTTTATAAGACATACTAGTCAGCTCAGATAGATCCTAGCAATGAATCAACACAGCCAAAAAGTCGATCTTAGACAGATGAGTGAGGTATATACAATCACACTTCAAGTTCCGCTAATCTATGTGGAGTTTCGATGTGCGGATACCCACCTTCGCTAGCCCACGTATGATCCTTGATCTTTTACTGGTGCGCATGCCTGCACTACTTTCCGGCCTGCCAGGAGTAAACGGTATGCGGTCCTGCTCTTGCAACGCAAGCATCTGGCGATAGTTTTTGTGACAGGTGCGGGTCGTCGGGTGGTTCTTCCCGAGAACAGTGACGTATGCAGCGCATGCTTGCTCGTACAGATTGCCGGAGTCATCGTAGCGAAGCAGCTTTACAAGAAGGCAAGCAAGATTGTTCATACTCGCCAGCGTGCTTGGGTGCTTCTCTCCCAACACCTCCTTGCTCAGCTCGAACGTCTTGCGATGCATCTTCTCTGCCTCCACGTACTTTCCCTGACTGCTAAGTGCTTCTGCTAGGTTGTTCATGCCCGCCAGGGTGCTTGGGTGCTTCTCTCCCAGCACCTCCTCCCTTAGCTCGAGCGTCTTGCGAAGCATCTTCTCTGCCTTAATATACTGTCCCTGACCGCTGAGTGCTGTTGCTACGTTGTTCATGCTCACCAGCGTGTCTGGATGCTTCTCTCCCAACACCCCCTTTCTCAGCTTGAATGTCTCGCGATGCATCTTCTCTGCCTCAGCATAGTCTCCCTGCTCGTTAAGTGCTACCGCTAGGTTGTTCATGCTCACCAGGGTGCTTGGGTGCTTCTCTCCCAGCACCTCCTCTCTTAGCTCGAGCGTCTTGCGAAGCATCTTCTCTGCCTTAATATACTGTCCCTGACCGCTGAGTGCTGTTGCTACGTTGTTCATGCTCATCAGCGTGTCTGGATGCTTCTCTCCCAACACCTCCTCTCTCAGCTCAAGCGTCTTGCGATGCATCTTCTCTGCCTTGATGTACTGTCCCTGACCGCTGAGTGCTGTTGCTACGTTGTTCATGCTCACCAGCGTGTCTGGATGCTCTTCTCCGGACACCTCCTCTCTCAGCTCGAGTGTCTCGCGAAGCATCTTCTCTGCCTTGACATACTCTCCCTGCTGGTTGAGTGCTGCTGCTATGTTGTGCATGCTTGCCAGCGTGTCCGGATGCCTCTTTCCCAACACCTCCTTGCTTAGCTCGAGCTTCTCGCGATGCATCTTCTCTGCCTCAGCGTACTCTCCCTGACCGCTGAGTGCTACTGCTACTTCGTTCAGGCTCGTCAGCGTGCGTGGGTGCTCAGGCCCAAACACTTTAGCCCACACCGATAACGCTTGTCGGTGTGTTGTCTCTGCTGCCGAGTACTGTCCAAAGCTCGCTTGACACCGCCCTACGCGATCTAAAAGCCCAGCGCTAGCCGCTTCGTCTACTATACCGTGCATTCCAGCCACGTGGATTGCGTGCGGCAGATACGCCGTCCACACCTTGAACTCGTGGCCCCCATACGGCACTAGCTCCTCGAGCCGCGCTACCGCTGCATCCACCCACACTGCACGCTCACCGTGTGCGTCTAGCCAGCAGGCAGATGTCATGTGCACCAGTCGATGCATATCGAAAAATCTGTCTTTGTCTGACTCTTGTGTCGTTTGCAGGCGCTCTGTAATGAACGCGTAGCCAGTCAGTGTTCCCAGCGCTTTCGTCTGCTGTACCATGGAGGCCCCGGGAGGCAGTAGCAACTGTGGAATATTGACGCGGTCGATGCACGACATGAACGAGAGGTACTCTGCAGCAAGAGGATCTTGCTTCCGTACCTGATCAAAGGAGATATGCCACGTCTTGGCGATTGTGCTGTCCAACTCAGCATATCTGCTTGGATCTGCAAAGCACTCGTTGAAGAGTTCCGCCTGCGCATCAGCATCTCGAAACAAGGCTAGGTAGCCAGATACGGACACGTCGTTAGTGTTCATAAAAGCGGCAGCCTGCACAATAGCAAGCGGCAGGCATGTGAGCGTCTCCAGCAGCTCGTCAACAGCGGTCTCATCACCACACAAAGCCTGCTCCGTTGTCTGTTGTGTCAGCAGCTGCCTAGCTTCGCCCTTGCTCATGTCATCCAGCCTCAAGACGCTACTTGGCGTCAAAGCCCCAGCCACCTTCCTGCTCCGAGTCGTGAAAAGTATCGCGCCTCTATCGCTGCGTGGGAGGTAGTCGCTGAGTCGAGTCGGCTTCGAACCGCTGTTCGTCTTGCTGAGCAGTACCTCATGGTCATCAACATTGTCGACGATCATCAGCCAATCGTCTGCACCTTCTGAGCTTAGCGTCTCCTGAACAAGCTTCTTCACATCCGCATTGTCATCAGCAATACCTGGGATGCGGAGGCGGACCCCGATCTCCCGATATGCAAGCTCGAAGCTCTCTTGACTGATCGCAGGCACCCAGAACAACAGTCTAGCGCGCGTTGCCAGCGCACGATATGCAAACTCGATGGCAAGCGCTGACTTTCCGCACCCTCCCAGCCCGTATATTGTCCTCCGCCGGTGCGTGTTAGGGACAAGGAGGTACTGTTCGAGAGACCGGAGCTCGTCTGTTCGTCCAACGAAGAGTTCGTTTCGGGGGAAAGGTAGCGACGAGAGTACTGGATTCTGTTAGATGTATACAGCTTGCACAGTGTACTGCTTTGCCAAGTGAAAATATACCAGACAAATTGCGCGAGCTGCCAGTACCGCGGCCCTCTTGCCGCTTCTGTATTTCCTCCTTCAGCCGCAGCGTGGCGTATGCTTCGCCTTCTCCGTAGATGAGTGACAGGAACACGCCAAAGATGCCCAACAAACAGTACACTTTGTCCTCCTTCAGCGCCGTTGTGCGTCTGGCCGCCCAGCTCATTCGATCCTCGATACTGAACTCGGCAAGACTTTGTCCTCTTAGAGCCGCGAAAGGTATCTTGGTGATCTCGTGGATTTCTTGCTCCAGCGATACCTTGCTGCCCAGCCGCTTGCCCTGCTTACAGAAGAACTCGACGCTGGATGGCGCCAGGAGCTCCTGCAACGTCCAGCCTCGCGTGAACCATCGACTGCGTCGAAAGGCTTCTTGCCAGGTTATCGGAAAGGCCTCAGCGTCGGCGATCTCGTCCGGCACTGAGACGTCGGACAGGTATACATAGCACTTGGACGCGCGCTGGTACCAGCGGAACATGGAGTTGATCGCCGTGCTGAGCTCATCGCTGGTAGACTTGTCGATGCAGCAGGTGTCAACCCAGCAGTACTCAAGGCCGTCCTCTGCAGCTCGCTTGCTGCAGAAGCGGATCTTGGCGTAGCCAGTCTTGTCCTTGCCTGTGCCAGCTACCAGCTCGTTGTACGTGACTTCCTGGCCTTCCTTCCATGTATGCGAGAGTATTGCGTACGGAGGGGGGTCGCCGCAGCTGAGAGATACCAGACCGAAGCCACCGCTTGGCGAGCGCTTCAGAAGACGCATCGGGGCGCGGACATGCTCTTTCCGAGCGATGAACGTTGGTCCAGGTCAATCAAACGCGATGTGAATGGAGGATCAAAGAGGGTCGACAGGCGCAGAGCATGAGTGATGGCTCTCGCGCAGCGCAAATGCCTTGCATCGATCCGTCCTGCATCGAGCAGGCTATAAGCCAGCGCTCGCTGGAGGCTGAGGCTGTGCAGTCGGCGGTGCACGCTCGCCAGTTCCACGTGCAGGGTTCGGCGGCGGTAAAGTGCAGGCGCCAGTTCACACAGCACGACCGGGGTTTACACATCGCGAGGTAAGCGAGGCTCTGAGTCAGTCAGCAACTGCACGTTCTGCGATGGGCATAGCCTGTTATCTCTCACGATAACTTAGGTGACATCTGAGCACGCTACTGCACGCTGTCCGCAAGCTAAGCGCTTTAGCGCATCTCGACACGCTGTAACGTCTTCCACGATTTTCACATTTGACCGGCGAAACTGCCGGACTCATCACTTTGCATCTCCAAGCAGCTTGCAGAGCTTGTAACCATGTTCTCCCATCTTCGTACTTTCACGCAGACCCTCCGATTCTCACAGAGACCCTCTTGGCTGTGAACAGATAGGGGGTGTTGACGAAGGGTGGATGGACGGCGCTGACGAAAAGATCGACAGCAAGGCCAACATGACCAACACCTGCGCCGGAGGCTGGTGCACTAACAGAGAAGAGGCTGTAGAATATTATTTTATTAACCACAGATCTGCATAGTTGCGAGCGAAAGATTGCGAACCTCCGAAGGCACACCCGTCCCGTTACATCGGGCGTCCCGGCTCGCCTGGATTGACATTAATGCCAGCTATCTAGAATGCTCAGGCACTCTACGTCTCAGAACTGCTTATGTAACAGGAGGTCATATATTCACTCACTTTGATAGATCTATCAATCAACCAACTGCTTCCTCAATCTCTTCGCATATTGCTGGCATCTAATCTCAGCCTGGCTTTAATTCAAATTTTTAAGGTACGAGTGCGGAACCTGGAGTGTCGACTGACATTTCCTTCTCTCGAATGGAGTACCATCACGAATGCTTGACTCATGTTGAGCAAGAGATCAGGCTTATCCCGCTTCATCCTGGTATCAGCGACACACCACTCGTCGCAAATGTCTTTTGTGTGCCTCTCATTCCACCAAAAGCTGGAGGTCGTGCAGACACGCCGTTCTATGAAGCGCTATCCTATACATGGGGCGATCTCGCCGCCGATCATCAGCTACGCATCACGCCTCTCACTGCTACGACCGATGATAGAGGTCTTCAGTACAGCAAAGTGATAAAGATTGGTATCAACCCGGTTTCAGCTCTACAACGTCTGCGCTATATCGACCGACCGAGGTGAGTATGTTCATGTGGTACACTCAAGATTACCAACTGACTTACGTTCAGAACGTTGTGGATAGACGCACTGTGCATTGATTAGCAAAACAGTGAAGAGAGAAGTCACCAAGTCCCTCTGATGAAGTTGATCTATGGGTCTGCTGAAAAGGTCCTCATATACATAGGCGAGCGCGAGAATGGATCTGACACAGCAATGGATTTCATTGCACATGTTGATGAGAGACCATCCTCTCAAGATCTAGAGCTTGTCAGGTGTCTTTTGGAACGGCCATTTTTACAGGGACCTGGATGATACAGGAAGTAACGGGGGTTCGCTCTGCTGTTGTCATATATGACTCTGGGGCAGTAAGCTGGGACTGCTTTCCCCGATGGCCATTTCGGGAAAGAGGGAAAAAGCAGGTTCCTGATCCGGGAATCCGGAGCTATGCGCCCAGGTATACGCCATGTACAGAACTTGAGGGTTTCCTGGAGGTACTCACGAACATCCGCGATGCAGAATTGTCTGATCCCCGTGACAAGATCTATGGGCTCCTTGGATTGATGGCCGACGACTCACCCCATGCACACCACGAGAGAAGTATACTCCGATCTTGTAGCATTGATCTTGACCGAAACTTCTTCACATAAGCTGCTCTCGGCTGCAGGGCTCGAATACACTCGGCGAGTACAAGTTCCTTTTTGGGTACCGGACTGGAGCGTATCGAAGGCAGACTCGCGCCTTTTCCTTGGGTGCACCTTTTATGAGCCGTTCAACGCAGGAGGCCGTCATGCTATGCACCCCATTAATACAGAGTTGGGATAATTAACACTGTCTGGTGTGCTCGTTAGATCCATCAAGGGTTATTACGCTCTTGGTCGGTTGAGCCGCATGATCCTCCGTTCAACATACGTTTTAACTGTCCAACAGTCTTCTACACCGAGTTACAAAGCAGGGTCGCAACAGCTAGCCCATGAGGAAATTCTGGACACGACCAGTGCCCAGCCGTTGGATACTGTGTGTAGTCATGGCAGCGACCAAGAAGGCGAAGAATTGCGTCACTTGAACACAATGTTGCCCGAGGGTAATCATATGGACTTCCTTGGCGGAAATGGAAGAGAATCTGCAGGGGAAAGGTTCAGATGCCCACGGTCAGGGCGCATTCCCAAGATCATCCGTCAACGCCGACTCGTACTCCAAAAGGAAGACGTTGTGGCAGTCTTACTCGGCGGGCCGGTACTCTACATCCTGCGCCCTGTCATTGGCAAGCCCTTGACCTACCAGCCTGATGGAGAAAGTTATATTCGTTCTATGATGAATGGGGAAGCACTGCACCAAATCCTGTATGAGGCTGAACGACTTGGTTGTAGGTTACCACCTACGAGTAGTGGACCATGTTCTGCGCCCTTAGAGAAGATCACACAACGAAGCCTGGAGGTGCTCGGCAGAAAATTCGCGATTCTCTGATACGAATGAAATTCTTTGTATCATAGGCTTTTGATAATTCGTAAGCTCACTAACTTTTAGCAGGTTTGCTTCAGCTGCCTCCCAAATCTCTAGAAATTGAACATGGCTACTTGGCAGCGATAGCCTAGATCAATATACAGCTAAAGCATCAGCACCTCTTTCGCCTTTACTTCGCATTGCATCAGCAATGTGAATCTGTAGTGTTTCGGTGTTGGAGCCTGGCTGGCTGAAGCCGAGGCCAACGTACCTCACAGCCCCACTTGCTGTACCTCAAAACCACAAACCATCTCTAATCTTCTCAAGACGCCTCTCCACCTCCTTTTCAAATGCGCATCAAGATATCGCAATAAGCCTTGCGCTCGGGCGAATACTCAGGGACAAGTCTGTCTCTTTCGGCCTCATGTTATCGCATGGCAGCCTCTGCTGCGCCCCACTGAACTAATCATCAGATTCGGTTGCATGGCAACCGAGATTGCGACTTCAGCTTATGGCAGCTGGGGCTGACTGAACGCCGGTGGCTGTTTCGAGATGATGCCCAGCTGGACAGATAAGGATTTAATGGTATATGAAGGCGCTATGTCCTCCTACGCTAAGATAATGTTGTCACATTACACTCTGCTTTGAACCTTCACCCCCGGCCGACACCCGAATACGTATACGAAGAACGAGGATCTTGCCGGACACAACAGCGATCATTGAAGACTTTGAACAAAATTTTGGTCCTGACATCAGTCTCTGCGGTTTAGGTTGAGGTTTTTTGGCGCCGTGGTTCCCTCTTCGCGCTGCAAATCATATAAGAGGGGGCCTAACGTGGCTGTGTTGTGATTCGGGCAGCCGCGCGACAAGCATAATAGCAGCTTCATCGACTCTGATCAATCGTTATCGACATCACTCAAACCATAAGCCTTTCTTCTGAAACCATGGATACCGGAAACATGTGTTGTGAGGTTACCTTCCATGTCGACCCATGCTGCGACTTTGATTCCTCAACTTCGGCCGTCGCAACACCAAACGCCGCACCTGAGCCATCACTATTCGTCGTACCTCTTGCATCGCCGAAAGCAGACGAAGAAGGAAACCCTCTATATACGGAAATCAACATACCACTTCCCGCTGTACCTGCGCCACCAAAGCAAGCTCCACAATCTCTATCACCACCACCCAAGTCGCGGTCGCGTGCGGTCTCGCTTTCGTCGCTCTCACCATTTCACCGCAGAAGTCCGTCTATCTCGTCTTCAGGGAGAACAAGCGAAGAGTGGCCGAGGATCAAGAAGGAGGTAAAGAACAAGGAGGTTGCTGCGATGATGAACCTTAACCACCAAAGCAAACGAAATCGCAGTGGAACGATCGATGCACTTGCAGTGGTACCTGCGGTTCTGGTGTTGAGTGCGGAGCTGTTTACACCTGGGCAAGGGAATGAAGGGAGACGGAAGGACAGCGGAGTTGGCAGGTGGGAAAATGGTATTCGCTGAAAACCATGAGGACCGAAGGAATAAGGGACTTAGATAAAGGCGCATCTTCACAATGATGCGCAAGCACGATGCACTTTTCGAGACCGTTCATACAAGACAGCCCTGCGACACCTTCAACCAGCTTGCTACAGATCACATTGAAGGCCACACCGGATCAACTCAAGCCCGGAAGGTTTCGAAGCTCGAGGTGCACATCATACGCTCCATAGTCTTGGAGAGCGACCACGCAGCATGAAGCCTGAACAGGCAATTTGACCCTTTGGCTTTCCCGCTTCTTGAAACCGTGTGTGACGAGATTCATCGAAGAAAGCTGACATGCGTTCGCGCTAAACCTTTGATGGGGCTGTACGCCTGAATAAGTGGGGCGATTCTCAATGTCCGCCCACGATTTACCCAGCCACACTCGAGATTAAGCAAGCGCTATGCAACATGCGCAGGTACTTTATATATCTGAACAGCAACCTGCACTTCAGGCGTCCACCACACTCTTACTCCAAGACCTTTGCCCCATGTACAGCCCTGTGCATTGTTCCATGGATCACGTATATGTACTTTCATCCTGTTATATCCTAACAGCGTCTGTATAAATGTTGACCACCTCGATGCACGAAAGGTAGCTGCGTTGCGGCACGTTCTACTAACCACATGGACATCAAGCCCCTCACTCAGTCACGCATCTCGAGCTACGTGTCGTGGGTCGGTGCACGCACTCAATCAACACTGAAGAAATCGCCTTCAAACGTCAAAACCTTCTGGCTAGACAGCCAACGTCAGGCTCGTAGCGACTTTCGCGCCCGATCCGGTCGTGGATGCTTGTGGGTGCTGGCATTCCTCTGGTTCCTAGGCCTCACAGCTGGCTTCGCTTTGTTATGCGTCTTTTCAAGCTTGACTTTTTCGGGATCTTCGAGAAACTCAAACTACCTTTCGGCCTGTTTACCCGACGATTCGTTCAATCTTCGACCTGACACATATCGATACTGGTCGAAGTCTGGGTTCTTTCAGATCACACTTGGCTCAGGGAATTTGACATTTACACAAGCGAAAGCCATAGATGTAATCTGGGATATTGTGAGTACCCGATAGCGATATTCGCTTCCAGTACAATGAGCTCAAGAACCTGACTATCAACAGGTCATTGGCCGAGGTGGCCAGGGACTACTTGCATATCTCTCATGGCAGACATTCATAAGATATGTGTCTACATCGATGGAGGTACAGCCCGTCACTTTCAACACATATCGCACAGTCTTTCTTCAGAACGGATCCCTTATTCTTGGAATACCGCGAATCATTCGAGACTTCTGCAGACGCCGTGGTCTACATTCTAGGTTCGCCATGGTCTTCATCGTTCTCACAATGATCTTCATTTTGATCTTTCCCACGCTCGGCAGTGCTATGACAGGTTACAGTGGAAACGTCAAGCCATATGTACCGGACCTAGATGGTAACTTCATCCCCTTTAACAACTTCAGTATCGTTCTGTACACAATTCACGATGGCAAGAGGATTGGCCAGACAGATGATTTCCATGCTACCATCTTCAAAGAAGCCAATTCTAGTGAGTAGCATCGCATGACATCCAGATCCACGTACTGACTGACATGTCTAGATGACCCAGTCTTGTCAGATATCAGCTACTGGAACCCTATGATTGGATATACCCTAAATTGTGCGAGCTTTCGGTACGACTACGAACGTTCACGGTGTGCTTCAGATGTCATTTTGTGGAACATATCAGCATGTAAAATCCCCCAAGAGCCTCATCCAGATTTTGATTCTAACCTGTCACGTCACTAGATATTGGACAGTATGGAACCGACCCCACTCTCAATCTATCATCAACTTTTGGCGATATCTCTCTGGAACCTCCAACCCTGAAGATAACAGCGTACGATCTGCCAAGCGGGCTCAACAGGACAACATACGACCCGCGATATTCCAGCGGCAGCTCCGGTAGTTCACCAGCCATGTTTCTGGCGTCTGATCAGCTGTATACACAGGAAAAGATTGAGATAGACGGCCAATGCCAGGCACAAAAGGTGCGTCTCCCATACAAATCGCTCTTTACAAATATCTGACACAACGCAGACCTACCAATGGGGGTTCTCCTTTGTCCAGCTCAACATCATGATCATCCTGCTCTGGGTCTGGACGCTCGGCATCATCGTTATGTACACGTCCTCGAAATTCACAATGAAGCAACGAGGAAGGGAAGACGTGGCAGGCGAGTACAAAGCTGTGTTCGAACTCTCAGGTGCAATGCACCTACAACTCGCCCAGATTGAGAATGAGGAAGCAAAAGATGTACAACAAATCACTGAATCTAATCTGCGCCAGCGCATAACTAAAGATCTTCGCGGCGGCACGATAGCGTACGATACAGCTCTACTCCCCGAGCGCAATAGTGGCGCTGAGGGTATTTACTGGACTTTAAAAGCTTGGACGAGGAGGGAAATGTGGTGGTTGATTGCTACTGCGGTGTCTATTATCGTCGATGGCTTTGTTGTCAAGAGTTTCATCAAAGATAAGCCGCGTAACGACCTTTTATTCTTCCTCGCTCTGCCGCTTGCTCTGGGCTTTGCGATGTATGTGGGTTCGACGCATAAGAGTAGAGTTATGGTGCTGTTTTGGGCGGTGTTGGTTGTGTGCGTTCTACCTGCGATTGTACTGGGAATTGTGGTCCAGATGTTCATGTGAGTGTAGAGATAGATGAGCTACCATCACTAGACATAAGAGTACTCGGAGACGATTTCGTTTGATGCATGTCGTCCTCTTTTCCTTCGGTGCTTGGGCCTGATAGTGTGCACAGACATCGTCGGCTCCTTCGGGTCCTCGTAACAGCAGACATGAACACAGATTTGTCCAGTTTGGGTGGCAACTGGTGGTGTGCGTCCTACCTGCAATTGTTCTGGGAGTGGTGTATCAGATGTTGACGCAAACAAAGTAAGCAAGGATAATCAAAATAGCCTTGATGGAAGACTGATCAGTGTTTGTATGAAAGCGTGTGAGATGTCATCTTCGCACTTTCTTCTTCAGTTGCATACGCGTAATTTGTCAGCGTCCGCCTATCGAACCTCTACTCGGCTTTTTTCGAGGCTCTGTCCCTCCGCTTCGCGATGAAATCGATACGACTCCAGCGCTGATCGATAGGTCTCTGGTGCAGCCATCATGTTCGAAAGGAAGGCGTGTCGACTACATCTTTACATCAAACGCAAGATGTGCCGCTGCCAAGTGCGTCCGACTTCCACAGGATCATTCGGAGTAGAAGATGATCCCTGATGTTCCTCCCCAAGCCTGGCAGGCCTGCATTCCACGCTGGAGCAGGGGGTCATCAACTCAAACAATTTGTCCATATTGTTGTTGCGGTCGTGCTTGACAGAGTGGTACAGCCCAACACGTCGAGCAAAGCCTACATTAGCTTTCTCAACCACAAGGAATATCGCGACACCGTGGTCTGCGTACATGTGGAATCCACCAAGAGGCACGACAGTGACAGTAGTCGTCTCTTGATTCTGAGGACCATAGTCGAATAACAGAGTCTCGCCCTTGAAGCCGGGCAGGCGATAGTTTGTTCGACGGCCCCAAGGCCTTACATCCGGCTCGGGAATGAGTATGCATGTGACTGCCCAACTTTCGATATCATTCCAGGGATGGAACAGCTCATGATCTGATCACCAGTCTATGTGCCCATGAAACTTCATACGGCCTTCTTTGTGATGGTCGACATGTATGCGGATAACTTGACCATACGCTGCTGATTCTTGATGTGGACAAGAAAGAAGATGAGATTGCCAGGATCATCATCGACCCGATTCGACGTCACGGACGCCCAGCTCCATGATGGATAGTCATTCTGTTGCCTGACTTGCAGCGACTATTGCTCAGTGCCTGAGATGCTCCATGCTAAGCCTGTGACGAAGGAGGTCCTCGGCATTGACGGCTCGTGGGGTACAGGGTAAGTCTTCCCAAGTTCATCAGCATCGAGGTACAACAGGGGCGCGCCGTAGAATTGGGATGCCCGCAGAGTGCGGCCACGTCGACTCAGACAGAACGTCTCAAGAGCTCTCACAAAAGCCTTGACGATGTCTGTGTGGTATGACAGCCTCCTGCCGTAGTATTTTTGCAAACAGTCGAAGATGTACTCGTCAGCAAACGCGGTCTGCAGATGAGGAAATGCCCTCACAGATTCAATCGATCCGGTGACCTTCAGAATTTGGTCGTGATCAGCTCTCCACAGTCCATACGGTTGTACTGGAAGTAGACCTGCGAGTGAGTGAAGACAAGACGGCGGCGCGACAATAGGCATTTCCTGGTAAGTTCATCCACGGCTGCTCCACGTCGTTTTTGGTATTTCCAGTCTCGGATTCTCAAAGACTGTATGCGGTTTTTGATCAATGGCTATCTCGTATTATTGGGCACACGGCGTCCCTCTGATGCCAGGAAGGCCTGCATGAGGTCTATCTCCGGCCGCAGCTATGATTGTGACAGTAGCATCTTGATAGATAACATCCATGTGACTGATGGCGTGATATTTCTCAGCGTCGTTTGCTTGATCGATACAATATCGATCGACCCACAGGTACCGCATGCCGAGTATTGATATTACATATGTTGCGTCCTCCATAGACCTTGGCAGATTCGCAGATCCCCCTTGTTTGTCTTGTACGAATTGCCGGGATACCCCAGACATAGCTGAGGCAGACATAAGGGCTGTTCTCCGCAGAATCCGTAATTCTCTCATACTACGATCTATCACTTTTAGACTCATCGGATGCTTCCTGGCGGTATTCTCGCATGTTTTATGATGGCATGACCTGCGTTCTTGGATCCACTCCTTTGCAATCCAGATGCTGTCATCAGGGTCCACAACTCTGAACGAGGACAGGTATGGTGATAATTCTTTTGGTACCATCCAGATCTCGCGGCAAGCTGTGAGTAGCTTCAAGTTGAAGTACAACACCTGTCGATACCGGATACCGTCGCCGACCACAGTGACCTTGTTGTGCCAAAGCTCGTATTTATCTTCTAGCCTCGTGGCTCCAGGATGAGAGCTCTTTATGATGAGGAGATAGAACTGACTGCACACCTCGATGCAGTTTTTCAAAGGTGAATTGGAGCAGGAGCTGCTATGAGCTGGTCTGTGGTGGAAAAGGCTGTCCGCAGAAGTTGCGGCATCTGTGGCAGGGGGCGTGGATTGTCCTCTGCTCCTCTACCATCGGTCGAGAGACTTCATCGTGGTGGACGAGAAATGCAAGAGGGCCAGTCAAAAATGCAGGATGCGACAAACAAGTGCACGTGGCCGGGCGCAATTGATGTGGGCTATCGTGTACCGTAAAACGAGGAGTAGGCTGCGTCCTTTCTTGGCCTCTCACCAGACGTGGGCTTACATGATCCTCATGCAGCTGTACGGTCCAGAACAAGCATCTTTAATCCCCTGGCCATCACTGGTGACTAGCTCAATAAGGCAGGAACTAGCAGCTTTTGGCATAATAGCTTCCTGTGAACGCTGCAAGGTAGCCAAAAGTGCAGTAGGGCGACCTACCTACCGCTACAGTCAAGACGCAGTCCTGATGTCTACCTATAGAATCTTACAGTCTACGGAAGTTAGATCTGACTGCTAAGCAAACTACCAAAGAGTTCTGGAGGCGACCTGAAGCCAAAGGTACTGTAGGTACGCAGCCGCCATATGTGCCGCTCTGCCTACCTTGAACGTCAACGTGGAAGTTTCGCCAGCGTATGTGAACGCAAGTGGTACCTCCTCTTGATGGTGAATGGCAAAATAAAAGGCAACCTTCGCCATATTAGCAGTTTGTTAGACAGGTGCTACACTTGTCGTGGGAAAGAGAGCAGTGCTCGTCAGTTGTCGCCCCTCTCCAGGGCTGGTTACCTCAAACTAGCCTTAACGGCGCACTGCACGTGACTGACCAACTTGGGCAAGCGCGTTTTGACTTGCTGCTTTTGCATGAATCAGGAAGCCGCAATTACTGAGCATGCAACAGAAGTGGGACATGCAAGACATGCAAGACATGCAAGATGGGCCGCGCTGAGAAGTAATGCATCTGGAGGGGCTGTTTGGGTGCTGATGCTGCAGGCAGCGATTTCGTGCTTGAAAGCTTAAAATTGCGTAACCCTGCTGTTTCGGTAGACCTGCTCTTTGCCGAGAAGGGTTCGAAAAGTTCGTCTTGGGTGAATACGCAACGATCTATTATTCACCATGCTGCCTAATTCCTGAAAACTGTCTCCCAGCGCCCACAACGGCGACTAGGCTCTACAGTTAACCCGCTCTTCCCACGCGACCGCCCTTCCACTTCCTTATCCACTGCCCTTTGCGAACGAGGGACTTAGCACCCCCACCACCGGCGTCATGGTTCGCAACATTGTCGTCCTCGGCGGGAGCTCGCACCCGCAGCTGACTGAGTATGCGCCGACGAATGCAAAAGCAAAAAAAGTCCGCATGCTAACGAGGGTCAGGACCATCTGCAACCACCTCGGCATTCCGCCCGCAAAGGTCCTCCTTGGCAAGTTCAAGGTCGGCGAGACCAGGGTTGAGATTGAAGAGAGTGTGCGTGGCAAGGATGTCTTTATCATCCAGTCTGGCGGAGGTCCAGGTACTGAGTTCCCGTGTCTTGTAGGCTGCGCAACCGTTGCAGTATGACGCATGCTGCGATGGTTGGAGCTTCACATGAAAGAACTGCGCTAATAATTTTGCGGCGCAGTGAACGACCACTTGATGGAGTAGGCTCTTCTACTTGGTGCAGTTGTTTGCAATGCCTAACCGTCTTGCAGACTTCTCATTACTATCTCCGCCTGTCAGACAGCCTCGGCCAAGCGCATCACCGCCGTCCTGCCGCTCTTCCCGTACTCGCGACAGTCCGACATTCCCTACAACAAGACTGGCGCACCGCTCGCTAAGGCCCTTGGCACACGGTCGAGGACTGGCACATACAGCTTCGAGTCGCGCCCTCAGACACCGCACCCAGGTCAGCCTGAAAGCGCAGGCTTGGGCGCCAATGGCACAGCGACTCTGCACCACCAGCTCAGTCGCATGAAGATCGATGAGCAGCGCAACGGCCCCTCGAACCCTTCCAGCCCAGTCAAGACGAACGGTCTCCGCCGTAGCGAGACGGTCGACTCGAGCAAGTCAGAGAACTCGGTACACTTCGAGGGCGCAAATGGCACAAACGGCATCATCACAAAATCGACGACCAGGCCTCCGGCTTTCGAGCCTCAGGTCGGATACCGCCAGTGGGTTGCTCAGGCCGGTACACTGATTGCCGATCTCCTCACATGCGCTGGCGCTGACCATGTCATTACCATGGATCTGCACGGTCGGTACCTTTTCCCTATACGCAGTATCTTTAGACTGACAGATTGGTAGATCCCCAGTACCAAGGCTTCTTCGACATCCCAGTTGACAATTTGTACGGTCGCCATCTCCTCCGCAAATACATCCAGTCGAACATTCCCAACTACCAACAAGCCGTTATTGTGAGCCCTGACGCTGGAGGTGCGAAGCGAGCTACTGCCATCGCCGATGCGCTCGGCATGCCTTTTGCGCTCATTCACAAGGAGCGCCGGCCCACACAAATCAATGACAGGCAAAATGCGACCATGATGCTTGTGGGTGACGTTGCTGACCGCACCGCCATCTTGGTCGATGATTTGGCGGACACATCGAACACCATCACTCGTGCGGCCAAGCTGGTCAAGAAGGAGGGCGCTTCGCAGGTGTACGCGCTGATCACCCATGGAATTCTCAGCGGAGATGCTATTGATCGCATCAACGCCAGTGCGTTGGACAAGGTTGTTGTTACCAACACTGTTGACCAGACCGAGCACAAGTCGAGGTGCCCTAAGTTGGAGGTTCTCGAAGTCGGCAATGTTTTTGCAGAGGTGAGTGAAATGCTAGCAAGACGCACCGTACCCTGGAGGTCTTCAGTAACCTGTAAGCGTTCTTGCAAGGACTAATGGCGTGTAGGCTATTCGACGCGTCCACCACGGCGAGAGCATCAGCGTGCTATTCGACTACAGCTAGTGGCTGAATTCGGGCCGGACACCTGCTTCTTCTCGTGAATATTTCCTTTCCAAAACCAAAGACGCCTCAGCGCGATAGAAAACATGTCAGAGTGCGAGGACGGCAATTTGGAAGACATCCAGGGATTGTTATTTCTTTCTGTAACAGGCAATATCACATACTGTGACTCTGCTTTTGTCTATACAACTGCTGAGGAGCGGTATACCAAGTACCTAGCCTGTATGCTGCATATCTATTGCACGGACGGCGTTGGGCGGCGTACATGTATATCGTGTACGATCAAACCTTGTAGACCTGAGGTATCTTTACCCGAATTCCGGCTTCGAGGCCGGTGAACATGCGTTCATGTCCGCAATGTTGACTTGATCTTTCCTTTGTCACGTTTCACGCTCCTTCACTTCACCCAAACTGCAGCTTCCTAGTAAACAACGCCAAGGCGCACCAACTCCGCCCAGTCGAGGCGAAAGCATGACAACGACTCTTGTCCAACCCTTCACCCCACACTACTCCGCTTGTCAGCGTCCGCAGCTACAAAGCGGACAGCACAACGTGAGGGCCTCTGTGCTCCACTTTTGCAACCAGTCTCACTAACCTACCTGCAGTGAAGTACATCGCGCACCTCGCTTACTGGAAGTATATTCAGTTATGAGCACTGAAGCTACCACAATGTCACCGAGCATGACAGAGCAACCGTTCAGGTTCCTTGACCTACCTCCAGGTACAGTTCAATGTCCAACTTGGTTTGTACGACACTGACACGATTGCGTCGCAGAACTGCGCAACCGAGTATACAGTGTCGCTTTACAGTATGAGGAGCATGGAGAATACATAGGCGGACGACGGCGTACCAAACACGCAATCGCAATTACCGCCGGATGGTACGAAAGACAACGCCACTGCCCTTTCTTGGGCCTCACGCAAGTCAACCGGCAGCTGCGCGAAGAGTTCCCTCCCCGCATCTACCACACATCATAACAGCCCTTCGTCCCCTTCAATCAGCTATAGAAGTACTTCGAAGTATTCCCAGTGCAGTGAAGAAGTCTTCCTTCCAGTTCCCAACAATCACCGAAGTTACTCCACTATCACCACTTCACGTCACCGCTCTCGACCGCCAAAGTCGATATCTTGCCTCTCGTTGACTCGATGTTTTACCCAGATCGCCCGTATGACGTGGATTTCGACCTCAGCGGCAGGCGCATGACTGGCTTTGTGGATATGGCACGAAGACTATGTATGGGCTCATGCCAGATCCGAACCAACCGACTTCTAGATCACGTCATGGATATCTTCACCAGCATTTACCCTTGACGATGTGATATACTCAGAGTGGAGGTGATGTTTTCCATGTCTTCAATACAAGACATTGGACACTCTTTTCTCTCGACTCAGGGCTTTGCCGAATGTCAATGCATTAAGAGGACCGGACTATGTGAGGCTTAGGGACAGCTTGATACTCCATTGTCAGGCATGACTTCCAGGCGCTATGGGGAGCTAATAAGATGAACAAATCGGTTTACGCAAGGTCACTGGCGGATACAACGCACGGGGAGATAGTTGACGAGATGGAAGAATTTCTCTTCAAGTGGTGCGAGATATTACAACGATATATTACAAAAGTCGCTACCAAGTCTAAAGTATCTATAAAAATCCTCAACGTCCAAGGCCCCGCCCGCCATTGAAGTCTATCTTCTTCACACTACTACTGTGGCGCACCCATACTCTGCAACCTCGCCAACTCAAAGTACACACCTCTCTTCGTCATGAGCTCATCGTGTCTCCCCCTCTCCACGATTTTGCCCTGATCGAACACGTAGATGACATCAGCATGCTGAATCGTACTCAGACGATGCGCAATAGCAATCGTAGTACGGCCTTGTGCGGCGGCGTCGAGAGCGTCCTGGACGACGCGTTCAGATGTCGAGTCGAGTGCGGAGGTGGCTTCGTCGAGGAGGCTGTCAGTATGTTAGCATTTGAATCTCGAAGGAAGATAGTGGTGTAGGGAAGACTTACAGGACCTTAGGATCCCTCAGCAGCGCCCTCGCAATAGCGAGACGCTGCCGTTGACCACCCGACAACAGTGCACCCTTAGCACCAACCAGAGTGGAGAAACCGTCTGGCAGACTCATGATAAACTCGTAGATGTTTGCATCCTTGCAAGCCTGCACGACAGCTTCCTCGCTAACGTCATCCTTGTCAGCAAGGATGTTCTCGCGAATCGTGCCCGTGTACAATGTCGTCTCCTGACTGACGATAGCCAGCTGTGCGCGATAGTCTTGCAGATTGTAGTCTTGCAGATCAACGTCGTCGACAAGGACGGAACCAGTGGTAGGGTCGTAGAAGCGCTCGAGGAGCTGCATGACGGTGGACTTGCCACTGCCACTAGCGCCAACAAGGGCGATGAACTGCCCTGGCTCGGCGGTGAGGTCGATGCCACGGAGGACACGGTGATCTGGTCGACCGGGATATGTGAAACGCACAGCTTGAAGTTCGACTCTACCCGTCAGGCGATCAATCTTCCTGCCGTCCGGAGACCAGTGGTCGATCTTGGGCATGCGGTTGAGGAAGGACTTGAGCAGCTTGGCGGCGTCGCGGGCCTCGCCCATGTCTGGTGCGAACGAAAAGATGGCGCCGGCTGACTGGGCGCCGTTGATGATGGCGGAATAGACGATGAAGAACTGCAAAACGGTGTACTCTTGTGCCAGCAGAAGACGGCCACCGTACCAGAAGACCAGAGCGAAGATCAACATGGAAAGGCCTTGCGAAGTGGCGTACAACGACGCGGAGATGTTGTTGAAAACGACGTTGCCGGCAGCCTGCTTTCCTAGCTTCTCATGGTACTCGCGGAGGAGGTGTTGTTCGAGAGACAGAGTGGCGACAGTGCGGATGGAGGAGGCGGCCTCGCAGGCGAAAGATGCTGCCTCGGAGGTTTCCTTATTGCGCTTCTCCATGCGGATGAGAGCGTAGAACCTGAAGTATCCGCAAGCCAACATAAGAGGGATGGTAGAGGTACAGACAAGAGCCAGCTTCCAGCCGAAGGAGCAACCAACGATTATAGCAACGAAGATCGATGCGGCGGAACTGACGATGGTACCAAGTGTTGCGCCACTGAGACCGGCAAGACGGTTGGCCTCTGACGAGAGGAAGGTAGCCAGGGCACCCGATGTGACTGTCTCGCCATCGAAGAACTCCATATCTTGTCGAAGCATAGCTGCAAAGGCGCGCTGTCGGACGTTGCCAATGAGACGAGCAGAACCCTTGGATAGTGTTATACCCTGTGCCCAGTAGAAGAAACCGATGACAAGACCCAACATGAAGAACATCCAGCACCAGAAGTTGACGTTGTAGCCTCCCAACGATGTGCCGGGCGACAGGAGCGAGTTGATGGAATTACCGAGGAAGATGGCTTGGATAGCTGGATTACAACCGGCGAGGAAACTGAAAATCAAACCGAACGCCATGGTCTTGTGCTCACCGGTGTTCATCTCCCAGGCAAACTTAACTAGTGCCCAAGTGCCGTACAGCTCTTCCTTATCGTCCTTCCTTGTGACGACAGAAGGAGCAGATGTGGTTGTACGCATAAGCGCAATCTTCTCTCCATCAGCCTCGGCGGCACTCTCGTTTTTGATACCCTCAGTACCGGACAGGCGGTTGCCAGGTTGTTTTTCTTGTGTGAGCTCTTGCGCTTGAACGAGACTTGCGTAGACACCATTAGCGCGGATCAAACTCTCGTGTGTGCCATTTTCCACAATCTCGCCCTTTGCCATAACCACGATGTTGTCCGCCTTCTTGATGGTCGAGAGACGATGGGCAATAACGATGGTGGTGCGACCCTTGGCAGCACGATCAAGCGCATCTTGAACGAGACTCTCCGATTTGGTGTCGAGTGCTGCGGTAGCTTCATCGAGTAGCAGGATCTTTGGGTCCGATACGATAGCGCGAGCGATGGCAACTCGTTGCTTCTGACCACCACTCAGCAAATTTCCTCGCTCGCCGACCTTTGTTTGGTAACCCTCCGGCAGACCCATGATGAAGTCGTGTGCATTCGCGATCTTGGCTGCCTGCTCGATCAGCTCCATTTTCTTCTCGTCAGATGCATCGGCGTATTCAGTGTTGACCAATCCGTGTAGAATGCTCTCGTAAACAGTGGTACTGAACAGTACAGGTTCTTGGCTGACGATGGCCATATGTTGTCGTAGCCACCTGAGATTTAGTGTGCTGATGTCTTTGCCGTCCAGGAAGATCTGGCCTTCCATTGGAAGATAGAAGCGCTCTAGTAGGCCCACGATTGTAGACTTGCCGGATCCAGAAGCTCCCACCAGTGCAACCATCTGTCCAGTAGTGACGCTCAGGTTGAAGTTTCGAAGCACGACTGTGTCGGGGCGAGATGGATAAATGTGCTTAAGATCTTTGAACTCAAGGTTACCGACAAATTGCTCGGGAATTTCGCCTTCTTCAGTTTCTGGGTCGATGGGTGACTTGCGCTCGATGGTGTTGAAAACCTTGGTTGCTGCTGCGGTAGCTCCGCCAAAAGCTTGGAGATGCGGAAGGTTGGAACCGATCGAGATACCAGCAATCATGGTTGCCATAACGACCGTGAGGATGTTCGCAACACCCAGCTCTCCATTGTCGAGGAACCTCTTTCCCTGCCAGAATGCCAAAGAGTACTGCAGGTTGAGAACGCACATCATTCCAGCAATCATCATGGACAGCCAGAACTTGGCTTTGAAGTCATATCCAGTAGCTTTGTCCAAGAAAACCTTGTACTTGTCCTGAAGACGCCTTTGGGTCCCATACGCTGCCACGTTGCGAGCCGAAGCCAAAACTTCTTCAGCCAAGGATGCTGCCGTAGCGTTCTCGTCGATCGCGAGCGTCTGATTCTTCTTCATCAATGCACCGTTGACACCCATCATGAGAACGAAAGCAACCGTAGCCGACAACATGATGAGAGACAGCTTCCAAGACCGGATAAAGCCAATGATGATGGCAGAGACGAACATAGACACGCCAGAAACGAAGAGACCGATCTTCTGACCGATCCCATCTTGGACCAGGTTCATGTCAGAGCTGATACGGGTGGTGACTTCTCCGGATCCAAGGAAATCGAAGAAGGCAATGTTCTGTCTGAAGATGGCGCGAAGGTAAAGTTCTCGTATCTGTTTGGTGATCTGCTCTCCAGTGTAGGAGAATCCAATGATGCTAATGTACGTCGTGACGAATGAACCAATAGCTGTGATCTGGTTAGTACAGGTGTGTGCAGGAAGCCAATTCGTACATACCAAGGTACACGAAGTACAAAGTGAATTGATTAGTTTGGTCCTTGAAGTGTTGTGCCGCAGTAGCGTCTACTGAGAAACTCGTGAAGCTGCCTGCAAAATTACCGTAAACAAGCTACACGAGGTCAGTCTGAGAACATAAAATTGGGTCTGACAGGAGAATTTCGCCCTGGCAGCATCTTGTTGTTATGTGCACGTACTGTCATAAGGGGCATTACAGCTCCAGCTGCAATAGACGCGATAAGCGACACAATCATGATTAATGTGTGTTTCTTATTCGCATATCGAAACAATGCAAAGTAACCAACGTTGAGTTTTGGTGCGTCGGTTTGTCTGTCGATGATCTGTTTGTCGTGATCGCTAAGACCAGAAGTGAGAGTCTTCGCCCCTTCCTCAGATGGCGCATCGAGCTTCTCGTCCATTCCTTTGCCGGGCGGTGAATCGATATTCATTGTTGCTGCGTTCGCGGCAGCGCGCTCTTGGGGAGCGGCCATGTTGTCGTACTGGCTCCTCGAGGCTGAATTGTCGAAGTACCTCAAAAGAGTATCGCAACAAGGTGTCTTTCACCGAGGGAGATTTCGACCTCGGCGCCACCAGCCGAATGCACAGGCCTGGAATCGGGTTCGGGTAGATGATAGGCCCGTATCACTAGACCGGATTTGGTAAAGAGGCGACGTCAATTCGTTCTGGTGTTTCTCGAAGGCGGCTCGCGAAGAGGTCTCACGTGCGACAAGCTTTTGTTTCCAAGATGAAGGTCCCACTAAATACGCAAATACGATGGCGGACAAGTGTTGGTAGATGAATGGATGGGAAACTGCTACGGAACCGCGGCGCTGTGCAGCCAAGATATTCGTAGACCGTGGAGAGAAGAGAGAGATGAACACGCGTTGCAGACGAAAAGAATTTGTGACCCTTGCAGTAGCTGTTTGCTCCTTTGCTCGTCCAGGATCGCAAATGCAGTGGTGTTCGAAGGGCGGAAAGGCCAGTCCTTTGAATCAGAAGGGCGCCCCGTTATTGCGACTGCCTAACGCTGTCATGCGCGAAAAGAATAGCCTGTCACCACCATGTGGCTTGTCGCATTCAGATACGAGCTCCATTCTTCCAAGCAGTCAGCAAGAATTCGTTCACCTTCGTCTGTGGCTGAGGCCAATCACCTGTGAATCGAAATGAGTGCGTAATGCCGGGGACGGGGCGTGAAAAAGTACCGACGCCGACTGTATACAATCGTACACTAGACGGCGCCCTCTTCACACTGAAATTCGCTCGCCCTCGTTCTCACTTTCAACAGTCATGAATCGTTAAGGCAAGCTATCACATTCGGGGTTTTTTTTGCTTCCGGCACACCGAGAACGACGTGATTCACTCCAGTCTACGACATATTATCGCGAAATATGCGGCAAAGTTCAGGACCGATGAGGATGGTAGCATCAGGCAACAGAATCGCGTAACCCTCAGGCACATGCATGACCACAAAGCGAGGTTTGACCCGAAGCTTAATGCGACAACACGAAGCTGGACCGGAGTCTCGGTGACCTCGGTGTCGCTATTGTTGTTGCCTGGGGCTGCTGTATTCTGTTGTTGTCTAGATCGAAAGTACCCACCTCAACGATGTTTCGTGGCCAACTGTCTTCCAGACTGCAGGCCCTACGAGTACGAGCCGCTGCCTCTCGGCAGCTTCAGAGTAGTGACTCTGCATGCAGGAGCAACTGGATCGTCCCTTATTGCAACCATTAAACATGGCACCCTTGTTGCATCGAAGACCTCGCGCCAGCCGTAGACGCCTTGTTATGAGACCTTATCTTATAGATGGGGTACTACTTTTGTCGAGGATCACTTGTCCATCACTACAAACAACTTTTTGAATATCGGATCGAATCTGAGTGCTGCGCTCAGACGCCTACGATACACTGATTGTCCAATGTGAGGCGAATCGTCATAGCCAGGCCCTCGCTTACACCGCAAGGACGCTGTGGGTAGGTGCCTTGTCTATTGACCAGAAAAAGCTTGTCGAGCGATCTCAGCAGGTGCCATTGATGAAGTATAGAGTAGAGCTAGCAAGGTTCTCATATCCACTGGTCCTGAAGAGCATCGATCAAATGAGGCTATGGCATGTATCGCCGATGTCGGTGGTGATGTAGCGGCGCAAGACCTTCAGCCAGTACGCAATCCTCTACGGCGGCTCCGGTTTTCGAGAGTCTAGATCATGCAAGAAGTTGTGCGCTCGCAGTCTACGGTCATTATCTGCGGTTCGAGCGCGGTTTCGTGGGACTGCTGTTGCCGTTGATCTTTTCGACAGAGACACCGAGAATCCTCCTACGATTCTGGCGTTGTCGAAGAGCTCCCTGGTACACTCAACTACTATTCGGGACATCAACCTTTATCGGGGAGCGAGGGCTTATTCCAGTTGCTGCACGAAAACCGGGGAGCTGGTGTTACAGATCTACGTGACAAGATCCTTGGCACCCTAGGATTGATGGAAAACACTTCTCCGTACCTAAAGCTCATCAACTATACGCTGATCATGGAGTCTGTCTATAGTAGCGTTGCTTTTGAAGTCATCAAAGACAGCGGCTCTTTAAAGATACCATCTACAGCAGGCCGCGGCAGGCTCAACATCTCCAATCAACCTTTATGTGGTCGTAATATCCCTCGTGGGCACCTGATTAGAGAACTCCAAGGCCTGACACCAGCTTAGCCCTCGGCAAAGCTTCTGTCAAGCCATTTGAAGATGGCGGCCGTTAGAGCTGCGTTCGTCTCCAATACCATAACTATGAAGCCAGAATATTAAGTGCACTGGATATGCAACTTGGTCCGGTTAAAACTGTCGGAGAGGTGGCACGATTTGGCTTTGTACCATCGAGCCTTGCACGAGAAAAGGCCGAGATGGGCATCTTACAGAGCTGGTACAACATCGCATTGCGGGCAGTAAGATCAACATCTCATATTTAAATGAGTTTCAATTAATCCAACAGCAGAATGTCAGCGACGAGGAGTATCTCGACACTATCAGTGTTACCCCACGAAGCGCTATCTCCACTGAAGGAACAATACCAAGTTCGATGTCCTTACCACAACTGCGCTACCCATCAGATAATCCCGACTTGTCTTGGCGCCGGTGGTACCATAGTCCGAGGCCAAGACGTGTTTCGAGCATCATACGCTATCATCTACTATTCATCTGTGGCACAGACTTCATAAGTTTAGGCCCTGAGGACATGCAAGAAGGTGATACCGCTACCATTCTCCTTGGTAGCCCCGTTCCTTACATCTTACGGCCTGTTGCCAATCGCCTCTTCGATCAGAGATTTGACTTGGTAGGAGAGTGTTACGTGTATAGTGTCATACATGGAGAGCCCTCGCATTACGTACGAGAAGAGGTGGAAAAGGTGGGTGGCATACTGTCAGAGTTCAGTGAAGAACTGTACGCAAAGGGAAGAATTTGAAGATTGTACTGGGGTTGTATTGGGTGAAGCTATGAACAGTATATATAGGTGAGTAGCTGTGAACAACGCTAGTGTGACGTGGCAGTCACTCTCATGGAGGTGAGGTACAACAGGCAGGAGCACCCCAAACCGTGACACATACTGCCGTCCACTAACAATGGACCATGGTCTGAGCCGTTGAGATGGTTTGGTATCGTCTGAGTAATACCTCGATATGCCATGTCGTTGACAGCGGAATATCAGTGCAGTCCATTATGTCCAGCATGCAATCTTGACAAACACAACATTTGCAAGGATTGAAGAAATCTTTATCTTCACAGCCTTCAGAGGTTGCATTCTGGATGAGGACAGGCTCTTTGTGCTAGAGTATTAGCTGATAGGCTCTGGTCAAGGCTGTTCGCAGTCGACGTTAGCGGATGGTGTTACGCTGTTCCTTGTTGCGAACACCCATACTGACGAGTAGCACAGACAAACCGGTAAGGCATCATCGACGTGAAGGCAACATCGGCTTCAAGGCAATATCGACCTCAAGGCTATTAAGCCGGCGTTCTCCCTACTGTTATTTAGCCATAGTGCGCTCCTGGGCACATAAGTACGGCCATGACAACAAATGATAGCCTGTGGATGGAGGGTATGCTGAACACACATTAGCTTGAGGCGCACAATCGACACTCATCAGCACACATCGCTTTAACGGGTCCATTTGTTGGGGTAATGGGGAGCTAAGATCACCACTATCACCCGAGTTGCACCAATCACGGTTGCTCTTGCAGGCCAATCACTCCAAATAGGGAAGTTGTATATGGAGTTGCCAAGCACCCGACTTGGCTCTCCGCACTCATTCCATCTTCGAGCACCAACAAGGTTATGATACTCGGGCCGTCCCTTTCTCGGTCTCGTTTCGGGGGCCATGGATCAAATTCTTCCGCTTCGGATAATTCGATGTACCAAGTGTTGATGCTAGTTACCGTTGTTATGTCGATTTCCAAGCCCCGGGGGGGGGGGGGGTCGGACCATCTCCTTGAGGCGAAAGACGACATGCTTGTGATATAAAAGGCTGTGCACAAACTCGATACCTGGCTATCGTCGTAATACCAATCTCTACTGTCGACCTCAGACTCGGCAAGATGAAGTACACACTGCTCTTCGCGACCGGCGCAACAGCAGCCGCAGTCGCCAGCCCCTCATATCTGACCTGGACTGCCGACTCGCAGATCCGGCACGGCGTCAAGAAGACCTTCGGGTACACTCAAGCCACTCTATACGAAGGCTACGAAGCTGCCATTGCCCTGACAAAGAACCAGACGCTCGTCGATTGGTACAGAGGGCAAATCGACGACGTCATCGTGAAAGCCGATGGAACAATCGCCAACTGGAACTACACCCACTACTCTCTCGACGACTACCGCATTGGCAACAATCTCTTGTGGTGGTACGACCGCACCGGCGAGTCAAAATACAGAGATGCGGCGAAGACCATCCGCGAGCAACTCAACCGGCATCCGCAGAACAAGGAGGGCGGGTTCTGGCACCGCAGTCCAATTTACAAGGACCAGATGTGGCTCGATGGGATATTCATGGCCGACACGTTCTACGCTACCTGGACGGCGAAATTCGACAATGGAAATGCGAGCGCATGGAACCACATTGTCAAGCAATTTGACAACATCGAGAAGTACACGCGCAACAAGACTACCGGGCTGCTGGTTCATGGGTATGATGAGAGCAAAAGCAAGGTCTGGGCTGATCCTGTTACAGGCGCGGCGCCGAATGTCTGGAGCAGGGCGGTCGGGTGGTATTTCATGTCCCTTCTCGAAGTCATCCCACTGCTGCCGGCCAGCCATCCGGGTAAGGCGAGGCTGACAACGTACTTCACCACGCTCGCCGCGGCCCTCAGGAAGACCCAAGATAAGGAGGGTGGCTGGTGGTTGATCATGAATGAGCCGTATCCGGGGAAGAAGGGGAACTACATCGAGAGTAGCGCCAGCGCGATGTTTACGTATGGGTTGTTGAAGGGGATCAAGGAGGGGTATGTGAAGGAGTCTGACTACCTTGCGCCGGCGAAGAAAGGGTATGAGTTGTTGAAGAAGAAGTTCAACACGAAGAATGCAGATGGGACGCTCGATTGGCTGGGAACGGTTGAGGTGGGGAGTCTGAACAGTAACGGGACGTACGAGGTAAGTCGGAATTGGAGCGGTGGAAAAGTAATGGTCGATTGCTGACACGTGCTACAGTACTACATTGGTGTGCCGCTTGCTGTGAACGACTACAAGGGTGTTGGGCCGTTTATGCTGGCGAGTTACGAGATTGAGACGTGGAAGTAGACGGTTCTCGGCTTTGCGGGGACCGGTAACACTCGCTCATAAGGTTATTGGGTAGGCATAAAGAGTAGGCGATGGTTCTGGACGGCAAAGCTGCGATTTGGTAGCGGTTTACAATCAAACCCCATCACGCCCATTCCTAAGCCAATCCTCTATACAAACTGCGAGCCGTTAGTGTATATCGCTCGTCTAACTCAGCTAGCCATCACCTCCTCGTAAACACTACACAGCCTCCCCTCCCTCCACACCCCCCGTATATTCAACGTATCATCGATCTCCACCAACGGATTCCCCTCCACGAGCAACAAATCCGCGTTCATCCCCTCCTCCAACTTCCCTCTGTCCCCAAACCCAAACCTCTCCGCTGTCAAGCTAGTAGCCGAGCGCAACGCCTCAGCAGGCGTCATACCAACCTCATCCACAAAGAGACTCAATTCATGGTGCATAGACAGCCCAAACGCGGTTCCCTTCGCTGGACCCGCGGCATCGGAACCGCAGAGGATGTCGATGCCGGCGGCGCGGAGCGCTTTTACGGAGTCGTAGGCGTGCGAGACTTTGCCGTGTTGAGCGGCGAAGGACATGCACGCGCACATGTTGCCGCGTTTGTCTTCGCTGATGAGGTGTTGGACGCGCGGGTCGTGGGCGAATCTGTGCTGCCGTTCTTTTCCCTCGGTGGTCAGGCTGCCCATTGCGGCGAGTGTGGGATTGCACCATGCGTTGTTCTTTTTGTACGCGTCGACGAGTTCTTGGGTTGGGGGTTTGTCGCAGAATGTGTGGGTGAGTCCGTTTACGCCTGCGTGCAGCACATCGAGGGTGTCGCGCAGAGATGTGGCGTGTGCGACGGTTAGGTAGCCGCGCTTCTGGGCCTCGGAAACGATGGAGCGTTGCAGCTCTAGAGATGGATAGGAAAGCTTTGCGCCCATCATTGTGCCGGACTCGTGCATCAGCTTGATGTAGTCCGGCTTCATCTCTTTGGTCGTCCATTCCAGATACTCCAGCACACTACTCCGATCCGTAAGCTTCGGCCACTTTGCTATCTCCGCTGCCGTCTCGGGACTCTTGTCATGCGCCAGGATGACCGGGATTGGCCAGCCGTTCTCAATGGTTGCTGCTTGGCCGGCGGTCTTGTAGGAGGCTGTATCTGGTTGTTTGGTCTGCTCGCGGAGTTTGAGCACGTTGGGTAGCTCGTTGTGCATCTCGCATACTGTTGTCACACCGAAGCGGAGAGCTTGCGGGAGAGCTTCGGGATCAGCCCTGTCGGCATGGATGTGGCAGTCGATGAGGCCGGGGAGAAGGGTGTGGTTGGGCTTAGAGTATGTTTTAACGGAAGCTTCCAGTTTCGGTATGCTTGAGGTTGGACCGACTGATTTGATCTTGCCGTTGTCGACCAACACATAACCTTGGTCGATAGTGGACTCCCCGGTGAACATACGAACATCGCGTAGTATGAAGGAGGACATGGCTTGTTAGGTGATTGTTGCACTCGGTGAATGAAAATACTGCGAGAGGACAGTAGGCGGCCGGTTCGAAGTTTATATGAGCCTAGTCGGGCACTCGGTGTGCAGCGCAAATCAGACGCGCCTCCTACTTCAGGCTGTAAGACCAGTCAGATAGTCGACAATGGTAAGCTCCGCTTACGATGCTGACAAGAGGCGGGACAGCGGGGAGGTATACCCGCGCCTATAAGCCAGTGACGAGCTCGGAATCGCAGAATGGTTTAGTGTGATACTCTATCCGGACTACATGAACGGAAGGACTTCGCGCTAGCAGTAGACCAATGTCAGCCTTACTCAGCCTTATCCTGGGATGGTCATTTCTTGAAACTCGACTTTCTTCGATGAATTTCTCCATGCCGTTCTCTGCTATGCATAACGACCTGGCGCAAGTCCTCTTCTTCGATAACAAACAACTTTTCTTGCAATCCTCGTTTCGATGGCCATGAGTCCCACAGTACACTTGGGAGATGTCCGACCCTTATCGGGGAGCCGACACCCGGCATTGCGATTTTGTGAGACGCAGCGGCCGATGCATATCGGCTGCTCATCAAAGCCACACTTCGAGTGTGCGCTTGCAATAATGGATGGAAATTTTGCGTACTTTGTGGGTTTTGTCGAGCGAGGAAGCACTTCAGATGCAGAGTGGAAGAAGCTACATTGTGGCTGACCATCGCTTGTGATGTCATCAGGTGAGCGCAAACTTGACGGTATTCATCGTTCGGGTTGGGTCAGACAGGACGTATCGATATTTCAAGGTATGCAAAGGGCTAGCTAACACAAGCTGAGTATGCCGAGGACCACCAGGCTGCTCGAAAAAGGCTCAATTCGGCGAGAGTGTGCCTGACTTTTATTGCTACATGCCACTTGAACACAGACAACTTCTTCATTGTGTCTTGTTCGATTTGTGGCCGTCTTGTCCACGACCCTTACTCAGTGATATTCTACACAACTCTGAAGCTGTGTACACTGTTCTTCTTGGCCGTTTAGTACTCGTTTATCTTGCCGTAGCTGCGAACCCAGTGTGCCGAAACAATATCTGTTAATGGCAGAGCGCGGATCGCCGGGTTGCGAGAGGAGACGTGGTGGCCATTTGACTACCGACTGCGGGGTGTCGCAGTCACACGATGCGTTGCATGGCGGCGGGCGTGAGACCAAGAGATCTCCAAGGCTATATCAGTGTAGCGATTCAACAAACACAATCTTATCGTATCGATACAATGTCGATCAAGTCTTCACCCAGGCCCCCCAACCCCCTTAACAATCCCCCTCATCCTCGCCAATAACTCCGCAACCCTAAACGGCTTTCCCACAACATCATCCATACCCGCCTCTATCGCCGTCTCAATCTGCTGCTGTCTGACATTTGCCGTAACCCCAATAATCGGCACACGACCACTCAACAAACCATCTTTCTCCAGCTCCCTAATCATAGCCACAGCGGTGGGCCCGTTCATAATCGGCATCTCCCAGTCCATCAAGATCAATGACAGCTCAACGGGCGCATCGTCGCCTTCGGGTACGTTGAGTAGGGAGATTGCGTCGGGGGGGTAGGGGACTTGGATTAAGGCGCGGCGCTCCTCGCAGCGTGCCATGTAGGCGTTGTGGTTCCATCGCGTGGTTTTTGGGAGGAAATCGAGACTTTCTCGTCCGTGGTTCGCGACGCTGACAATGCAGCCCAGGTTTTGCAGTTGCTTGGCCAACACCTTTTGATTCACGAGGTTGTCTTCTACTACTAGGACGTGTAGTGTTTCGGAGATGCTCTTTGTGCGCTTCAGCTCGGCAAAATCGAGGGGCGGCGGAAGACCAAGGGCTCCTGTAGTGGGCACGGCTGCGGGAGCTGAAGCTGCATGTGGTACCGATGGTGGAGGAGGAGGAGGAGGAGGAGAAGGGGGAGTGAGATCCGGACTTGTGTGCTCGCCATGGCGCCAGGATTGGCTGTTCTCTCGCACAACCCCTGGGATGATTGGTGGTCTGGGATCACGGGGCAGATTCAAAGACGGCTTCTGACTCCGATGTCTGATGTCCTCAGGGAATTCATCGGGCAACCTGACTTCCCGTAGCAAGGCAGGTTCGACGCGTCGGGCTTTTATGTAAAAGGAGAATGTGCTTCCCTTCTTGTACTCGCTTACAAGACCTATGGAGCCACCCTGGAGCTCGGTCAGTCGTCGCGAGATGAACAAGCCGAGACCGGAACCTCCGTAATGTACGTGTGTGCGTGGTGAGGCCTGAGAGAAACGTTCGAAGAGGGACGTTGTTTGTTCCTGTGTCAGGCCGCGACCCGTGTCGCTGATTGAGAACTGGATGAACTGGATGCTGCCTTGCTTCCAGTCCTGCTCTAAGTGGTGATTGTCCCCAACAAGTTTGGTCTCGATGAATTGAACACCTCCAGGAGTAGATACGGGTTCCGTTGTGCTCGCTGAGAGGGTTATTGTGACGTGACGTGTTTTGCTTTCCAAGCGTGTGAACTTGATCGCATTGGTAAGGAGGTTGATCAGGATCTGTAGAACTCGTGTCGGGTCCAATGACACCCAGTCGACCTCGAGGTCGCGATAAGACTGGTCTATCGTGAAGAAGAGATCAACACCCGCAGCCTTGGCCTCCGAGTCAAACATCTTGACGACATGCTTCACCACGCTTTCAGGCTGAGCGTCCACGGGAGTGATGACGAGTAGGCCGGAGTCGAGCTTGGAGATGGTCAATATGTCGTCGACAATATGCCGCATGTGTTGGGCACACTGCGCAATCGTCTGTGCTGAGTCCAGCGTCTGGTCGAGAAGGTCGAAATACGTTGTTGGGCTCGGTGGATTGCGATCGCTGAAGGAGTAGGACGAGAGGATGCCATCGGCACACTGCATGATCGCAGAAAGAGGATTGCGCATCTCGTGCGAAGTCGTGTCGATGAAATGCTCCAGGTGCTGTTTGCTCTCCAGCGCACTGTCAGTGCGTATCTTCTGGATCCCCTCGGCCCACTTCTGCTTCGAGATATCGGTCACGCTACCGACGATTTCAAGTAGCTCGTCGTCAGGTCCAAGCTCGGGATAGGCAGAGCAGAGCACCCATTTGTGGTGCTGTGAAACTCCACATTCAGGCTGCTCGAGTTCGGGTGGCGGTGTCCATAGCATCTTGGTCCTGAGTTCAAAGACCACAGGTACTTTTTCCATGACCAGTTTGCCAAATACGCCCTCGCATTTGGCGATGTCCTCCGGGAAGCCGATGTTCAGCCAAGCTTGCATTGCGTCTTCAACGTCAGCTGCCACCTCGAACATGTCGTACCTGCCAAGAGGTTAGAGGAAGTCCAGGCAGAGATTGCCAACATCCTTGACTTACCAGCGTCTGTTCCTGTACGTGTACTTGCCCACAGCATTCATAATGAAGATGGCAACATCGCTTCTTTCTGCAAAACTCTGAAACTTCTTCTCCTTGGCCTCAATCTCATTGAGCAACTGTTGCTGCAGGTTAGCCGCGTTCTCAATAGCCTTCTCTTTCTGCCTGACCTCGGCGTCAAACAATGCCACGCTAGCCAAACTTGTAGCCAACAGACGTAACATCACATGCACAAACTTCTGATAGTTATCATCGAACGGCCGTCTAGGGTTGACGCCGAGAATTACGAAGCCCTCCACTTGCGCATTGTCTCCGGTAGTAGGCATGATGGGACAGATGACCACGACACGACACGGGTCGCCGTAGCCTTTCCAGTCGACACTGGAGAGGACAGCATCCGAGAGGTTCAGGTCGGCGAGGTGAATGATGGTTGCTTTGCCCAGTTTGGCAGCCTCGAGAAGATACGAATGAAAGACGTAGGCGTGGTCTTCAACATTGATTGTGGGTGGCGCAAGAGGATGGCCGCTCTGGACGCCGATCGATCCTTTGAGGATACAGTTGCCTAAGGATGTGCCTCTTGGACCACTGCCGGGTGAGGAGATGGAGTTGATGTCTGAGCCGTATTGGTGCTCTGCCGAGTACAAGAGCGCGAAGGGGACGTCTTTGCTGTTGAGGGCCAGTGTCTGCAGGGCGATCTCCCAGAACGACTGGAATGTTCGAGCGTTCGCGGTCTGACTGCTCATCTCCACAAGACTAGACACCCGCCGCTCTAGGAGATGATGTTTGGTGGTCTCGAAGAGGTGGTGGTAGTAGCTGGTGATGTGACCTTCGCTGTTCAAGACGGGCGTAAACTGGAAGGACCAGTAGGTCTCCTCGAGAAAACCATGCCTGTCGATGAACAAGGGGACGTCATGTTCCCGCAAGGAAGCTCCTGTTGCGTTGATGTGCTCGATGAGGGGAGTGAATGTGGGCCAGTAATTGGCAGCATGCGTGCGAGCACTCTTCCCCATACAAGGGTGGAGGACGCCGAGGAGCTGGATGTAGGCTTCATTGTAGACCATGATGGCTTCCTCGCCCCAAAACAGTATGGCAGGATAGCTATCGTTGAGAGTCATGTTGACCACACAACGCAGCTCAGGCGACCACGATTTCATGTCTCCAAGTGGAGTTTGCGACCAATCCGTGTCGCGGAAGTATTTGATGTGCTCGGACATGGTAGCGAGTGGCGGTGGATGGAAAGTGTAGTCATAGGGCCCATGGTGGCTGCGCTCCGGACTCGGCCTGTCCTTCAGACTCTCCTTCCGCTCCGAATTGACATCCGGACTCTGCAAAGACGGGCGCTCTGTGGGTAGGTAGGCCTTGAGTGGGAGATGCTTAGGCTGTCCACTCTCCTTTGGGTCCAGACTTGGGCGCAGCTGAGCATTGCTTGGGTCAGACCACAGCATCCACGCAGTCACGCCGCTGACAACCTTGTAGTGTTCCATATTGGCCGCCGTCCAGAGATGGCCCTCGAACAGATAGGCATTGCCGCGCCGGGACAGGTCACACTCATCCACCACATCCAGCAGCCAGTTCCTGAAGGCGCAATGGAGCGCTGCGCTCTCCACGAACAAGCACCCTTCCGTCTGCTGGCCCGTGACCCTAGCCAGGAGGCATTCCGTACGCTTCAGTGCCGGATTGCTGTACACGAGTTCGAGGGGCCCGTCGGGGTGAGACGTGGTGCCGGCGTGTATGGCGAAGGAGGGGCGTTCGTCGACGTCGAGATAGCCCAGCAGTTTCGAGTTGGTGAGGTCGGCGTGCAGGGTTTCGCGTTTGAAGCCGGACAGCGTGCGGGCGGCGCACATCTGAAATTGTTGTTCCTTGGTGATGGCATCATGGTAGCGCTGCTCGCCGTTGTCGCTGTCTAGCCCGTTGTTCGTCGAGCCATCCGTCGTCATTTCCTCACCCGGCGCAGGGTTCAAACGCTTCGGAGGGCTTCCGGAAGGAACAGGGCATAGTTGCTCGAATCCTTGTGTGGCGTAGCGCCGGCGAAGGCAATGCCCACGATTGCAGGAAGGAACATTTCCCGGCCATGGCCGCTGATGGAGCTCTCTAGCCCGGAAAGCCTGGTGTTCGATGCACGCATCTGGCCCGGCCTTAGCGTCCGCAACGCCTCTATCTGCGGTGATTGGACTGCATGCTGGAATTTTTTAATTTTTTTTTTGGGGGGCTTCCATGTAAAGCAATGTGGCAGGAGTTCGCACTGTATGTAATGCGTTGTGTGAGTAAGGAGTGAGCGTTTGCTCGCAGCGTGGGCTCGATGTGTAGGGCAGCTGAGCTGAGCAGCTGGTGACTTCCTACCTGCTGCATCCTGCGCGGCAGGATTGCTTGGGGCCTCTTTACCCCGGATTGGCGAGCGCGATCGCCAAAGCTTGCCCGTTCTTGCTTAGCCAGCCTCTTGTACGCAAGCGAAAGTGGCCGATAACCCCACATCCTGACAATGCAATAACTTCACAACCACAGCACTTATCAAATTTCTGAAAAGGCAGATTGATTTAGATTTATCAATGTTTACTTGCCTGGCCCTCATACACATTCTTGATATTGTTGAGGCGGTGTGGATATGCGTCAACTGTCTTGTTGATCTTCTCAGAACAAAGATCCTCCTAGACTTGATAGAATTGTTTCGACCCAGCCTTTTCTGAGGCACAATGCCTCCCATAGAAGTGATGTCTCATCGCTGACGTCCAGATCTCTGATACAGAGAAATCAGGAGACTTGAGGGGTGCTATAATGTATGGAATTCCATTATGATCCAACCACTTCAAGGTGCGAGCACTCTTGTGTGAAGAATCACAGTCTTGATAGAGAGTATACTCTTCTCTTCGCAACACCAGCCTTGTCAGCAAGATCCTGCCAAGGTAATCCCTTCTCTTCAAATGGACAGTTGTCTAAGTATGATGCAATAGCATTGGCATCAGAGTTGGTCATCAAACGAGGGCCTCCACGGGTATCAGGAAGGTCCGCATTCTCAAGACGGCAGCATCTGCCAGTAGCAATGATGTTTGTAACAGTTCTTTCAGCATATCCAAACACCTTGTGGATATCCTCACGACTCGCAGGGTACCCCGTTTGCTCACAGAAGTAGAGGGATGAGATGATAGCTGAGCGCTGAGGTGTGTGCAGTTGGGCGGGTTTATCCTCCTCTAACAGCACCAGCTCGCGAGGTGGGGTATTGAACCGATGTCTAAGACGCTTCTTTGACATGTTTAGAACAATTGCATGTTCACAAATATAGTAAAATAATGTAGTATTGATGCTGTTTTGAGGAATGGAGTGTGGTAACGCGCATATTGAGGAGCGCGGGGCTGCCGAGCCCGGCCTTATCGGCCACTAATCCTTGCGTACAAGAGCCAGCCCTACGCCTCGCTTCAACTTTCATGCACATCTTGATCACTGATGGGATTTTTGGAATTGCGATGCTTTGGGATCGATCAATAACTATGACCTGGGCCATCAAGGTAGCATCATCGCATCAATCCAAGCTCATGAATTTGTATAGGCAGATCGCGCGCTTCGTCTTGTCCTGAACTGCTCGACCCTTCTTCTTCTTCTTCTTCTTCTTCTTCTTCTTCTTCTTCCGCATCGTACACCTCGTTTTGCTCTTGGGTATCAATATGGTTCTGCGAGCTCACGTCCTGTAGTCCTGCGTCTTTCCTAGTCCTGCCTCCCCAAGCTGCCTCCCCAAGCTGCCTCTTCAAGCTGGTGGAGGACCTAGGCTCCAGTGTAGGCGACAGCAGCTTCTAACCCATCTTCGCTCTTCTTCGCGTTCCTCTGCCGGCCCGTCGACTCGTAGGGCCCGTTGGAGTCTCTAAGTTGCAACAGTGGCCTTCGAGAGGGCGGGCGTCTCTTTTTCCTTTTCTCGCTTCTTCTCGCTTTTCCTTCGTCTGCGCTCCGGCTTGTATACATCGTTGAAGTTGATGTTGACAGCCAGCATCTTGAGCTCTCCATCTGGCGAGTGCACGAGATCGCCCAGCAGCAGACATATCCTTGCTTGAAAGTCTACGGCTAGATGCGCCAGACGTTGTCGTAACGCCGGCAACACGTCGTCTTCGCCCGACCCGCCATTGCCAACCTTGAGCAGAGGTAGCGGGAATGGTGAGTCTGGATCCTGTCGCGAAGCACCGCGCGATGCTGCGAATGGATCTGGTGTCGAGGTGCGTGAGCTGTCCCTCTCCGAGAGACCCCATCGTCCGGCTGCTGTGCGAGTTTCAATCTTCGCTGCGGCTTCTTGGCGGCGAGTGAACTCTGCCACGGAGAACGAGTACAGACTGTCGACTACGTCCTTGTATGCAAGCATCGTCTTGAGCAGCTCGTGCAACTGACCGGTAAAGTCAATGCTCTGACTTCCCAGTAGTCCCTTTCGCGTGATGTTGTTCAGGTACTTGGCGTGTGCGTCAATCATATCGTCCAGCGTGCTTTCCGGCTTGTTCAAGGCTTTCTGGAGGTCGATCCACGACGATTCGATGACTTCGAAAAGGATGTAGTGTTGAAGCTGGTTCACAAAGTGGACCATCTCCGCCATGGCGCACCGTGCTTTCTTCCAGTCCTTGCCAAACTTGTCGTCAACAGTACCGAGAACACCACGAGCCCCAGTCATGCAGCGACGCCAAGTTGAGCCAAGGGCGAACTCGACTCGCTTCACGCGCCACAAGAAGTTGAAGACCTTGAGGTACTGCTTGGAGCCGTACGGTGTGACGATCACGTCAACAGGCGCATCGATCTTGTACTCGAGAGTGAACACGTCCCACCCAATCTCGCCATGGGAGAGCTCCAGCATACGAGAGTCGAGCCTGCGTAATACGTCCGAGGTATCGTGTTGTGCGTTCGAGTTGCGCACAGCATGCTCGAGTTGCGCAGTTAGTGTGTGTCGGTATTGTGTGTTGGCAGGGCGATCGAGGTTTGAGGACAATGACTCCATCAGGACGGCAATGAAGTCGCCAGCGCCAAGCAGCATATACGACTTCAGCGCCTGCAAGTGGTCGAAGAGCTTGAACTTGTTGCCCATGAGCTCGATTAGGCGCGCCATCGTCGTTTTGTACGCGTCGCCGATGGATCGCTCGAGGTTCGCGGTGTCGCCATAGTGCAGCTCCTTGGACGCTTTTTTTGAGTAGGTATCCACCCAGTTTGCATCGCCGCAGCCGTAGCGTATGAAGTTCAGTGTCTTGCCGATGAGGAAGACCCTCCTGGCGAAGTCGTCTGCAACGATTGTCGGTACCATCTTGTCGTTGAGCTTGTACTTGTCCTCCCAGACGCTTGTCGCCCCACCTTTGCCTTGATCGCCGGTGACGTCCAAGATCTCGTCCTCGCTCTGCTCAGAGACGAAGAACTCGCCAAAGGGGTCTGACAGCTCGCCATCATAGACCCACTGTCGCAACATGTCGTAGAATGGCCGTGTGACGTCGGAGAGAAGGCGCTCGGCGAAGGACATGACATACGGGTCGCCGTGGTTGAGTGAGAAGGAGTGGATGAGCGAGATCAGCTGCCCACCTTTGCTATTCTTCGACTGCTCAACCATGAGGCTCATCAGTCGCAACCCCATCGTCGCATCGCGAGTCCAAATGACACATCGCTTCAGGGTCACCCCGGCTTTGCTGACGCCTTGGTGAGCAGCGCCCTCGCCCAGTTGCGTGAGTGCTCGTCTGATCTGCCCTTCCAACGTGGCAACGAGTCCAAGGTAAGCACGCAACTCCTTACCCAACGCCGAGCGGAAGCTTTGCCCGATCAAGTCTCCTTCGCTAGACTCGACGAATCCAGCCAGTCCTTTGTATAGGATGGCTGGCTCGGCGAGAGTGTGCAGCAGCCCTATGATGGGCACCGGGAGGCAGGCAGGCAGCTTGAGCGCAGTCGAAGATTGGAAGACGAGCTTCGAGGATGACAGACCCTGCAGTGTGAAGGGTAGATCGCGGAGTAGTTCTGTCTCGGACGGTGCCATGGTGATTTTCTCTACGGGGGCCGCATCCTGCGCATGCTCTTTGCTTGCTTCCTGTGCGCGCCGGTCCCTACGCCTCTCGACCTTGTCTTCTGGCGGCGGCGGGCGTGTCAGCGCTTTTGGCGAGGGCTCGTGAGCTGGGTACTGCGGCAGTCCTTGCTTTGCGAAAGCCTCACCGAATGCGGGGCTGTCGTATGCCGGTGCAGCCGAGGACTGGTGCTGCGAGGGAGTCGCGGGTCCGCGCGAGCGGCTGCGCGACTCGAAGGAGGGGTTCTGGTCCTGCGGTTCTGCAGACGGTAGGTCGGAGAGCTCGTGGAGGAAGTATAGCATGCGCCACTTCTCGTTCAGTACGGGCTGGTCTTCGAGACGTCCGAGGAGGTTGTGCAAGCGGGCGCTCTTGTGGACGTCTTTGGCTGGCCCAGCAACTGCATTGCCATTAGCTAGTTTGTACATACATGCGCTACACATATGAGTCGCACTCTTTGCTTCCAGCAGGCTAGCGATGTGCTTGACGTCTGGCACGGCTTTGGGCTCTCCAGCTGCGATCAGCTGCTGCATCGAGTAGTCGTAGGCATCTTGGAGGCGCTGCTCGGCAGCTTCCTCGTCGTCGTTGGGGTCGTCAGGAACAATGCGCTGCAGCAGCTCGTCCAACGCGTGCCCGACGCGTTCATGGTTGAACGAGGCCATGACGACGCGCTGTTTCCTAGGCGCAGCTGCGACGGCCTTGAACAATGTTTGGTCGTTGCGGGGAGCTCGCGCTTGGGCCCGCCCTGCCACATCATTCACTCCGGTCCCCGCCATTCCATCACCCCCTGTCAGTCGAGGGTACAGCTGCCAAGGCTCGCCCCGTCAGCATTCAGGAACGTCTATGGACGCGCAGCCTCCGCCTGTCTCGGCGACCAAGTGGCCTTGATCAACAGTCTGCTGGCTGCTCCGGCAGGTAGACCTAAAGGTCATCTTCGAACGGGTACTCAAGACTGAGAAGCCCCCAGCGAGGTTATCAAGATTGCTCGTCGACCTTTTGGCGGAGCACATGGACACCGAGCTGTGGGAGCATCTCCGGGGCTCGATCAACCACAAGGTTGCACTCCAGATGATCGGAGCCATGGTGGCGCGCAGGGAGATCAAAGTTGGACAAGACCTCAACGATGGCAGCCGCACCAAGCGCGAGAGCCGTCAAGAAGTCGACGATGCCCAGCTCAAACTAACTGAAGCGCAACAACAGTCTCTTCTTGCCGGTTGAGATTCTGATTTCTTCAAGCTGTGAGGCTTCAAGTGCACTCAAGCATGAACCTTCTACAGCTGGATATTGGCATTTACGGGAACGCCACACTCGGAGATGAAGATCTTGATTGACACACGATTTTTTGCTTCTTTTTGCATACTTCGAGTACTTTCTAAGAGCCGCTGGATACCGGGAATTCGTCATCTACGAAGCACTCTGGCAAGCATTGTGCATTTTGCCGCATGAAGCAACGGTATAAGGTTACAGGATCTCAGCTTTCCATTCTTACTTCATATCATCATTATCCAATTCTTCATAGCACCTGCATCGTGCCAATCACAAAGACGACGACGTCTTGAATGAATTCAGGAATCGCTAACGCTGTGTACATGTCAATCAGGTCAGGCAATAGGGGCTAGGCAGCCTGGTTGCATGCATGACGTGCAGCTTACACATGTCTTCTCCAAGCAAGTACCGAAGTTCCCAATAGACGGGTTTATGAAATATCGTGAGGAAGATACCTGCGCTGAGCTAACAGAGCCTCGACACACGCCTGGCGTCTTCTGACTCTGACTGGACATACGCATGTTGTGCCATTAATGATGAGGGCACTAAACACTTGAGAAGCTGTTGTGCGTGTGTAGCACACCTCGAATCGACACTCCCGAATCATGGTCTGCCAGTCGAATCATGGTCTGCCAGTCGAATCATGGTCTGCCAGGAGAAGACTTCCTTCGGTTACACAACCGACCGTTATGAGGTTGCACGGCGCAACGATCTGTGCACCTCAACAGCCTCGGCCAACAGACAGGGCGCGGGACACCAAAACGTCAGGGCCGCTTCCGGAAGGGATGCAGGAGCCTGGCAATTTGGCTTGTTTCGCGTCAGGAGCTATGTTGTTATTGCCCCTAGGCCTGCACTAGAGGCTGAGACTGGAGCGAATGCTGCCATCTCTTGCGCGTGTTGAGCCAGGTGCAGAGTGTCCGACAACCTGGTTCGAGATGCAAAGCGTGCATCCTCACACAAAACGATATGAAGGTGCGTCAGGCCTGCGCCCCTTACACCACTGGCGTGAGCTGACAACAGTGGATCGATTGTGGCGTAGAGTCCGCCAGATCGACACCAAAAAGTCCACTTCCTGGAGGACACCGACATTTACGACTGTTTCCTATGAACGTGGTGCTTAATTGCAATACGTCAATTACGTCTCTAGCCTCAACAACAGGTTTCGAACTATGCTCCATCAGGGAAGATATGGACAGCACAACAACTTTGCAAGCAATGGCTAGCAACAACACTGGCTAACCTCGCAGCACATCTGGGGATACAAACACAGAACTCCTGCATCTGCGCAGACCCGTCGGGCCCCGCATCCAAACACGCACTGTGTACAACAAACACTGAGGCCCGAGCGTTGCCACCACCGTAAGGTGTTTACTCCTCACACTGCCGTTGTCGAACAGTCTCGCTGTGCAGGACGAAGGGAGAACACCAATGACAGCATCACATCAACCCGACAAGCTCCCTGGAATGAACCTACCGCACCACGTTGAACTGTCGACCGCTGACGCTATCCTAAGCGTGGCGTACCTGCTTGTTTGAATTTCTCCGATGCTGCTATCCGCTGCTGCTATCCGCTGCTTCCCGTCCACGAGGCTTACACACGTAGAGCCTCAACAGACCTGGGTGTCGATCCTATTCAGGGGTTGGAGTACCAGGCACAATCAGCCTAGTCGCCTGATGCCATTGACATCGGAACCAAGCTTGCCATGCCTCATGGGATTTGGGGCTGCATTAGTGTATGCAGACCTTCCTGCTGTGTCTTCCTGAAGCTCATTCCACGTGTGAAAGTCAGACATCTGCATCTCGATACGACATGCCGATGAACCGACACACCATGGCGCTGAAGCAGGAATCATATTACCCACTCGTTCCTGTGCACCCTCTCATTTGGGCACACACACTCCCCTTGCTGTTTTCTCCAATTCGGCCTTTGTGTTAACGTCCGACCAGTCCGTGCAAGCCCGCTTGTTCGTCCTGTTTGCTGGACAATGGCCGTGTTTGCTGCCAATATAAACTATTCGCTCACCCTGCTAACTCGCACAACTCACCTGACAGATAGCACGATATTCCAATCACATTCCACAATGTCATACAACCAAGGACAGCGGGAAGCGACAGGTCCTGCGCCGACACCCTGTCAGTACGAACATTGGTGGAGAGAACGACAACGACAAGCCGATCAACAACGTGGCAGATCGCCTGTCAGATCGACCATCATCCCTTCAGACCGACCAATGGCGATCTTTGATCCTAATGTGTTCCGTCTGATTGAACCACCTCAACGAACCATCGATCTCGAGCAAGGCCTCCAATACAGCCACTCCGAGAGTAGCCCACGAAACCACATCACATCGGTCTCCCTCTCTTCCAACTTTGTCTTACTGGAAAAGGCATCAACACCGCGCCATCAAGCTCTACCACCCAAACGCTATCTCCGGATCGTTCGACGCCTCTGGTATAGCATCCTCGCTGTCTATCAACGCCTCTTCACACTTATCTTCATCGTCAACTTGGCCGCAGTGCTCATCCTCCTACACTGCCAATCATGGGACCGCTCTGTCGCATTCAAGCTCGACCATCTCGCAACCCTCGCCTCCTCAAACTTCCTCCTCGCGATACTCTTCCGCCAAGACTGGCTCATCAACCTGCTCTTCCGAACCGCGTGGCTGGTACCCTGGTCCTTACCTCTCAGAATCAGAAGGATCGTGAGCAGAGTATACTGCTATGGCGGCATCCACAGCGGCGCGGCGGTCATGGGAACGCTTTGGTGGATCGTCTTCACCGCCGTAATAAGCTGGGAGGGCGTGGCGAGAGGAAATTACACGGCTCTGATTCTAGTCCTGACGCTGTCCATATCCTCACTTCTGGCCACCGTCATCATCCTCTCCCTCCCACACTTCCGCGTCCGCCACCACGATACCTGGGAACTCACGCACCGCTTCCTAGGCTGGTCTTCCATCCTACTCTTCTGGATCCAAATCCTCCTCCTTACACACTACAACGCCACCACCACCACCACCACCCCGTCCTCCTCATTCGGAGCTCGACTCATCTACACCCCAACATTCTACACCCTCCTCGCCATTACCTTCCTGCTGATGTATCCCTGGCTCCTCCTCCGCCGCTGGACTTTCACCGCCACCCCACTCTCCCCGCACGCCCTGCGACTCAGCTTCCCGAAGAAAGTGCACAAGTACTCTTGCCTGGTGCTCTCGAGCAGTCCGCTGAGGGAGTGGCATCCATTTGCTACTTTCCCCAATGTCGGTCCCAACGGAGAGAGAAATGAGGGCTCCCTGAACGGGGCGAATAGTCTCGTGGTGAGTGCGGCGGGGGACTGGACACGCAATCTCATTGCCACTGCGCAACGGGAATGCAGGGAACAGAAGATGCTGGGCAAGCAGGGGGAGGGGGTGGAGATGAAGTTCTGGGTCAAGAGCCACCCCAGAGCGGGAGTGCTCTCGCTCTCCTGCCTCTACTCCCGCGTCCTCATCGTCACTACCGGCTCCGGCATCGGACCCAGTCTGTCCTCGCTGCTTGACCGTCCACAGGGACAAGTAGCCAGATTGTGCTGGTCAACTCGGTCGCCGTTGGCTACCTACGGAGAAGACATGTTGAAATTGGTGGAGAAGGCGGATCCGGAAGCGTTGATCTTGAATACCGACGAGATGGGACGCCCTGATCTCTTGAAGGTTGCCTATCGGCTTTACGTGGAGATGAACGCGGAAGCAGTGTTTGTCTTGTCGAACGAAAGGGTCACGAGGATGGTGGTGGGTGGGCTGGAGAGGGGAGGGGTTCCGGCGTATGGGCCGATTTGGGACTCGTGAGTTGGGACTCGTGAAGGAACGATGGAGGTGGCGGTGGCGGTGGCGGTGGCGGCGGCGGCGGCGGCGGCGGCGGCGGCGGCGGCGGGAGTGCTTGACGCCCTGTACACACTATGCTCCCTCCTTTTGATGGTGAGGAGACTCGGACAGATGATACCCAGCTTCGCACACAGGCACACTTGCAGTAATACCACTTCGGTTCTCATGAATGCTGACTTTGCTTTATGGTACTGTACATTTCGTTTTCGAACCAGTAACTGCGCCGGTGTATATGTTACAGAAGGAACCCCAACTGCGAGACGGCTTCAAGTGGTCCTTGACACGGCACAAATTGCGTGACGGTGGTGATTGTGGTAGTAGAACAGAATCCGACCCAGCCCAGAAACGAGTGGATGGACGAAAGAAGAGGGAGAGAAACCAGTACGCCGTCGCTAAATGTTGGCCAACCAGAAAGCAAAAACACGTCATCCTACACACATGCCAAAACACCGTCGTTCCTCAAACACTCCGCACTCACTCGTCCGAGTCGTTCGGCCCTTTCGCGAGTGGTGCGAGTAATGAGCGCCCTGCAAGAATGGCCTCGCGGTCCTGACGCATGCCCTCCAGCACGCCGACAAGCCCACCTTCTCGCATGCGCTCGAGTACGACCTTCATGCCCTCCTTTGCATTGGGCTGGCTGCGCTGCGCACGCGTCAAGCCGATTTTCTCAATCTGGCGCTGCAGCGCTGCGGTGCCCCAGCTTCTCAGAAAGCCCATCTTCGGTGCCTCCTCGTCAGAAGCACATGACGCGGCCTCGTTCGCAGCCTCGCGCTTCCGCTTCCACGTCTCGCCGATGTGGGAGTGGAGTGTGACCGAGGATGTGACTTCGGTGGTCTCGCCGTTGTCCTCGACTTTCACACCTCTGCCGTCTTTGCCGAAGGAGAGGAAGCCGTGCCGGCGTGCTGCGCCTTCCATGCCTTGGAAGACTTTTGCATCGTCGCGGATCTCGGGGCGTTTGAAGTATTGCCGCTCCACGACGGAGAGGACGCCTGTCCATTCGAGGTTGCGCGATTCCGTGTCCATCCACCCCTCCCTTACGTCGACGACGCTCTTCTCGAGAATGTACGTCTGCGTGTCGCCGCTTGCTGAGGCGCCAAGGAATGACTTGGGTAGCAGACGAAGGACGGCGGCAGGCAACTTTGAGCGCTTGAGGTGCAGACGGATGGTTGTGAGGCGCTGGGTAGCCGGGTCATAGGAGCGGGCGATGGTGTCGGTGGAGAGAACGTGGGTTGCGTAGGGGTTGGGGTAGCGCAGGAAGTAGGCGAGGGTGACGGCGGGGAAGGAGTACGAATAGGTCTCCTGGGATGAGTAGAACTTGACCATGGCGTGCAATTGGGGTACTGTTCACGTGCTGGCGGTGGTCGAGTGTCGATGTGCGGAGGTGCAGGGGTGTCGAAGGGGAAGATATGCGAAAGAACGGTCGTGCTGGCGGTGATGCTATCGTTGTGATGTGTGTTGCATGATCGGGGGCAGCCAGTTGTCAGGCAGCCATTGGACAGACGTGCGATGCGCGTGGATGCGGGGGACGTGGAATGCAAGTGGTGTGACGTTTGTGAGGAGATGGAGCGCTCCTGACGGGCGGCAAAAGCTGGCGGTGGCTGCGGTGGCTGCGGTGGCTGCGGTGGCTGCGGTGGCTGTGGTGGCTGTGGTGGCTGGAGCCTCAAAGTGTGGCGCTTCTGCCCCGCGACGTCGGTCGATTGCTGTTGGTGGGGTCGCCTGTGTATTCCTCCATATTGCCTGACTCAACGCGTGGGTAAGTACGTGAGTCAACGCCACTGCTTCTGCGCGTGAAGCTTCCTATCCACTCGGACTCCTCCACCAACACACCAATCGCCATGACAGAGCCCGAACCGCCGTCCGTGGCTGCGCTCAGCATCGCCGCGACCGCCGCAGAGCCCGTGTCCAAAGCCACCGCCCAAGAGATCAACCCTTGGGACGTACAGGCTGCGACAGACGCCGACGGCAACGTCCAAGAGTTTGACTATGCAGCTATCTCTGCACAGTGGGCGACAAAGCTCATCGACGATGCGCTGCTGGAGCGATTCGAGCGCGTGACAGGCCACAAGCCGCACCGCTGGTTACGGCGGCGTCTGTTCTTCTCCCACCGCGACTTGGAGCTCATTCTGAACATGTATGAGAAGGGCGAGGACTTCCTGCTCTACACTGGACGCGGGCCCAGCAGCGATGCCATGCACATCGGACACACCATCCCCTTCGAGTTCACGAAGTGGTTGCAGGATGTCTTTGATGTCCCGCTGGTCATCATGCTGACGGACGACGAGAAGTTTCTCTTCAAGGAGAAACTGAAGCAGCCCGAGGTCTACGAGTTTGCGCGGCAGAATGCCAAGGACATCATCTCCATTGGATTCGACCCCAAGAAGACCTTCATGTACATCGACTCCGAATTCTTCACATCGGGCTTCAACAGGCACTTCAACCTCAACGCTACTGAGTTCGAGAAGCTCATCACCAACAACCAGGTGCGCGGCGCCTTCGGCTTCCACGGGTCAACCAACATTGGCAGCAATGCTTTCGCTGCTAAGCAGTGTGTTGCTGCTTTTGCCTCCTCGTACCCCTTTATCTGGGGACAAGACTGCAAGACATACCATCGATCCAAGCAGCTCGCTGCGATACCTTGTCTTATTCCATGCGCTATCGACCAGGATCCATACTTCCGTCTTGTTCGCGAGAACTGCAGCAGGATGGATCAGCCATCGCCGAAGCCTGCATTGATTCACTCCAAGTTCCTCACAGCTCTTCAGGGTGCGGGCGGCAAGATGAGTGCCTCAAATCCCAACTCGGCCATCTTCATGAGCGATACACCCAAAGAGATCAAGAAGAAGATCAACCACCACGCCTTTAGTGGAGGTCAGGAAACGCTGGAGCTGCACCGCGAGAAGGGCGGCAACCCCGACATTGACGTCCCCTATCAGTACCTTTCGTACTTCGAAGACGACGACGAGAAGCTGTTAAGACTCGCCGACGAATACCGCAAAGGCGAGCTTCTGACTGGCGACATGAAGAAGGAGTGCATCGAGATGATGACACAGTACGTGAAGAGATTCCAGGAGGCAAGAGCAACGGTCACAGATGAGGTTCTCGAGGAGTTCCTGCGCCCGAGGCAGCTCGAATGGAAGGGCAACCCCAACGTAGAGAGGCCAAAGGCCGAGGAGAAGAAGGAGGGTGAAGCAGCGCCAGCAGGCGCAGATGGACAGCCAATGACTAAGAACCAGATGAAGAAGCTCGCGAAGCTTGCAGAGCAGGAGAAGAAGAAGGCTGAAAAGGCGGCGGCAGCGGCTGCGAAGAGCTAGAGGAAGACAAGATACTAAAAGAACATGTCCACGGCGCAACAGAGCCTATTCGCAATGTACACATACGGCGTCAATGCGCTCCGTGAGTCATGTGGCTACCTGCTCATGGATTGCTTGCTCATCAAATTGCTATCCAGGGCCTATTGTCGTGACTGTGTACTCATGTCTACGCGGTCAGGTACGTGGGATAAATGCTTTACTCTGCACTGTCGCTCAGTTCAAAGAACCTCATGACGTACATTCCCAGGCGCGCATCCAATAGATCCATTTCCTAATTCATCCTACGGCAGTGGGGGCCGAGTTGCGGAGGAAAGAGCAACGTTTGGTACCTGCAGCGATAGCCTACCGTTATTCCCCTCCCGACCGGCCCGCTGCACCAACAGAAAGCTTGACCACACATCGAGATCGTATCACCTCCACTTCCAGACCACTTGGCATCCTCTGTTCACTCCACCTGCTCAAGATCACGCGATTCTCTACCATCATCTCCGAAGCCGCCAAGCTGCGTATTTGCCTCTTTTGGCAACCCGGCCCCAATCATTGCGACACAGCTATGCTCACTCATTCGATCACCACAGACTGACCAGCACTACTGACGCTCCTCCAAATTGGACTCCAATGGCCTCGCATAAGTTCACCGCACGGCCGATTCGAGATCATCAAGATGTCACTGCGAGTAATTCCACCCCTAGCTTACAGGTTCTCTCGAAATGCCGACAGAACATCAACACGCTTTCACATGCCATAAACAAGCACGATTCCCGTCTTTTGCTCTCCTGAGAGGCCCTTGTTGCTGCTCTGCTTTTACAATCTGCAAAACCTTACCGGATTGGCTTTGACTAGCCCGTCCAATACTGTGTTAATATGACACCCACCAGCAGGACAGAAGGGCAAAGTATTGCAGGAGAAGCTTCGCCTCCATCCATACAGCGCCAACATAGAACGTGCTCCGACAGCTTAGGGAACACGAATCTATCCAATGCATTTACGAACACAACGTACAACTCAGCTGCGCCATGTTTACCAAGAACGTCTACAACCCAAACTGCGGTCCAAGATGCCGAACAGAACATGACCCTCCGTCAATGCCTCAAACGATACCCTAAAGCAATCATGTGGTCCGTCTTGTTTTCATTGACCTTGATCATGGAAGGCTATTCCACCATCCTCGTCCCAAATTTATACTCTCTCGATCCATTCCTGCGACAGTTCGGCACGCTGCAGCACAATGACGACTACGAGATCAGTGCTGAATGGCAAAGTGCTTTGGTCAACGGCGCATTGGCAGGTCAAATCATCGGGCTGTTCCTGGCTGGCTGGCTGGCTGAGAAGATCGGGTACCGCAGGACACTTATGATTGGGCTGACAGCAATTACGGCGTTCATTACGATTACGTTCTTTGCGACGAGTAAGCCAGTGCTACTCGCAGGGCAGTGCTTGCTTGGTGCGCCGTGGGGCGTGTTTCAGACGATTAGCACGGTGTATGCAAGCGATGTGTTGCCTGTCAGGTTGAGGGGGTATCTGACTACGTACGTATACACGGTTGATGATTCGGTCCCGTTACTATGTCACCACACGGGATAGACTTGCTAATGTAGACAGATACGTCAATGCTTGCTGGGTCATTGGCCAGCTGATCGCATCCATCGTCCTCCGCTCCATGCTCTCCATCGATTCGCAGTGGGCATACAGAATCCCGTTCGGTCTCCAATGGGCATTCCCCGTCCCCATACTCGTTGCCGTGCTGCTTGCTCCCGAATCTCCTTGGTGGCTCGTTCGACAGAGTGACTTTAAGGAGGCAATGAACTCACTTCGTCGCTTGCGAAAGCAGGATGAGGATGAACCGGACGCCGACTTCGACGCAGGGCTGGTGGAGACACTGAATCAGCTTAAGCTGACCAATGAGATTGAGAAGGAAGCGCAAAGTGGAACAAGATATGTCGACTGCTTCAAAGGCGTGGATCGGAGAAGGACTGAGATAACATGCATGTGCTGGATCATCCAGACGCTATGCGGCAGCACGTTCATGGGGTTCTCGACTTACTTCTGTACGTCTTGACTTGTCTTGTCACTTCTTGACATGATATGTCTCCCTTGTTCTCTATACTAACGCTTAGACAGACGAACAAGCCGGCCTCGGTGCCAAACACGCCTTCACTCTCTCCCTCGCCCAATTTGCCCTTGGCCTACTCGGCGTTCTCGCATCCTGGTTTCTCCTCTCCTACCTCGGACGCCGCACAATCTATCTCTCAGGCCAAGGGCTCACATTCCTCTGTGTCCTGCTCATCGGCAGCCTGGCTTGCATCCCGCACCCGCATACCTCCACCTCTTCGACAAACAACGTGCCTCGCTCCGCTGGCGGCGCAAGCACATCAAGTCACAGCATCGCCGCTGGCGGCGCCATTCCCTGGACCATCGCCGCCCTCCTCCTCGTGTTCACAGCTGTTTACGACGCCACCATAGGGCCCCTCTGCTACACCCTCGTCTCCGAAATTCCCTCCACCCGCCTGCGCTCAAAGACCATCGTCCTAGCACGCAACTGCTACAACATCTCTGGCATTATCACCAACCTCATCACCCCGCGCATGTTGAATCCTACAGCATGGGCATGGGGAGCCAAGGCTGGATTTTTCTGGGCCGGAACGTCGATCATTGGGTTGGTTTGGTCGTGGTGGCGGCTTCCTGAGACGAAGGGGAGGACGTTTGCGCAGATCGATACGCTGTTCCGTAGTAAGACGAGTGCGAGGAAGTTCAAGGGTACGCGACTTGTGGAGGGGGAGCTGCGGAGGGATGCGAGTGGAAGTAGCAAAGCGAGTGAAGCGTAAGTGCGTAGAGGATGCATACCATGTTCAGAAACTCTGTCGTTGAGGCGTTCACGCATGCATTTGGTCTTTATACAGTCTCTGTATACGGTTGTTCGTAACGCGATGTAGAGACCGAATTCCATTGGAACTATGGAGCATACCATTGTATAATCTCGCCCTCCGGTGGACGTCCTTTCGTCTGATATATACGTATTTGGAGCGGGTCGCTCACAACATTGACCCCTGCCTGAATTATGACGTATCTTCCATCCGCCGCTCTATTTTGTTGAGTTGAGATTGAGTGGAGGGAGGTGTGGCGGCCCATTGCATTTGTACCTTTGAGGGGTCTAGACCAATCCCCTCTGCCTACCGTCTCACAAATACCGAATCCTGGAGCTGCGATGCTTCGAGAATAATTGACTCTGCGCTTATCTTCCCTTTCGAGCCAGAGGGTGGATGAAAGGAGCCGAGGAAGCGGTAGAGCAGAACATGCCAGTCAACAGTACACTCGCACCTCATCACCACTTTACTTTCCTCCCTGAGCACTTTCTCTAGCCCCTCGTTATCAACTGCCGTGCGCAGTGCGCTCGGAAAAGTGAGCGCTGGGTGTCGAATGAGCAATGTGAGTCGCACGCGGGTCCAGAGCTCAGCCGGCACAACCGTCGGGTTCTCTGGCTTCTCGTCTGTTTCATTTGCTTCCAGGCTCGTGATATTCAAGGGCGAGAATGAAGGATGCAAGAATGTCGACTCCACCTCAGCCGTAACCATCCAATTGACATGCTCCTTCACATACATTCCCCTTTCCCCCATCTCCCCTGCCAGGAAGTCTCCTCGCTCTGCATCGTCCACCCAAGACTCTCACCCTTCTATTCCCTATCTCAACACATCATCCATCTCTTATCTCTATTCTTCGCCCCAGGATCCGTATGGGCGTGCGAATGTAGCGTTTCTGAAGCGATGCAATAGCGTGGTCAGGAAAAAGTATCCATCGTGCGGGTGGGGAACTATTGGCGGCTGGGGAACTATTGGCGGCTGGGAGGGGAGCTCAAGGAGGTGGGCCAGAAAACTTGATGCCGTACGGGGAATGGAAACGAGGATGTTGTGGATCGGGACTGCTTGGGGATGGAGAGCTGGAAGGTTTTCAAATGTGTTCGCGGGGTGCATGTCAGGAAAGCCAGATTGTGTGTTTTTGTACAAAGTGGAGCTTGCGCGGCCGCGTCGATGTTGTTGTTGGTGTGTGTGATTGTCAGCGCACGCCATTACTTGGCAAAATTTACCAAACGAGGGAGGTAGAGATGGCGGGGATAGTGATGCAAGACCGTATGAATTGCTGATGTACAATACAACTAGTAATACATACTAAGAAGATATTTGCCGAAAGACACGTTGAAAAAATGACCAACTGCAGCAATGCCGCTCCATGTATGCAAGCCACATAGATTTCAATGAGCAAAAACGAAAGAAAGGGGTATAATGCTGGAAACGAACGTAGAAATGGGTATCAACGAAGAAAAGCGAAAGAAATTCGAGATGTCATGCCGTATCAAGCTCAGCCACGCGATGCTGAAACGCTTTGCAAAACTCAAGAAAGCAGAATGCTGAACGAACAGTAAGTACGAAACCGAAACGCGATAGAAGAACAGCAGCAAGATCGTGTCAACAAAGACATTGATCTTGGGGAAGGGAGCATTGACACCATTTTCAGATGCCCCAGCCTTCCCACCCATGCTTGAGCATCTTATCAATATGGTCAAGAATAGTCATGACAAGCGCTGATTGAGCACTGGCGCCAGAGGTCATGCCGACGGCAGTATGGCCGTCGTTGTTCAAAGATCCGCCACGAAGACGCATCTTTAACCATAGAAGGAGGCTAGTACAGCAAGTTTGGCAAGCTTCAACATCAACATTGAAGAACTCGATGTCGTCGAGGGCAGTATCCAGAAAGTGCGAAATATTGGCCTTGATCTCCCAGTGCGGCACAGAGGATCTTCGGCTAGAGGAGGTGACTAGCGCTTGTGGGGTCTGTTGGCGGAGCCCTATGACTTGGATCATGGATTTCGGGTATGTCGAGTGTGTTGTTGCGACTGAGCCAGATGTTGGGTGCCCCATGGAAACCGCACTGAGTTGCGGTGACTGTTCATTTGCCATGATCCGTGTGGTTGCAGCAGCAGTAGCTGCCCACAACACGAGAGCTGCAACGAGGAGGCCCAGCTCGTTACCCATATCAAGTACAAAAGGTTTGGATGCCTCGAGAGACAACCGGAGGATGGTAACGGATATCTTGAATGCTTCTGCAGTCAATAGCAGAGATTCAGTGTGCGTAGACCACAATTCGCTCGCCCACGCTTGGAGCGTAGACTTCAGCGCGAAGAACTCTGGTTGCGATGTCACTTTCGTGCCAAGTACCCACGTCTCACCCGACACGGCTAACAGAGCGCGCACCGGGACCAGTTGCGTAAGCTTTGCGGTCAACAGCTGATGACGTGTTGTTTCGTCGTCGTGAATAAGGGAGTCGATGCCGCCGCTCAAGTGAAGTGTCGAGTTGCTAAAAGGATTATAGTGCGCTGCGATCAGAACCGATGACTGGAAAGGGTCATAATATCCGACCATGTGGTCGTCAATGGCTTCGGAGACGCGTCTAGGCATGAGTGAATACTCCTGAGCAACGTTGGACCATTGGTAAGGATCTCTTGCGTCCCAGAGAGACTTGTGTGATGGGAAAGGAAGATTGTTTCCTAGTGTTTGGCTCATAAGCCGTTTGTGATCGGGTGCAAGAAGCGTGGATTGTCTGTACTCCAAGAGGTAGCACGATATGAGTAAGCGCTGTTTCACAGATAGCTTGACCCAATGTAGCCATCGGTTCTGGACATTGTCTTCGTGTGTAGAAGCGTGAAGCACAGGGTCCGTGATCGCAGACGGGTCAGTACTGGGAATCCTCGCCAACTTCAATATGTTAGTCATGCATTGCTATCTCATCGACCAGGAAAGTTCGTACCTTCTCATACATGGCCAAGAACCGCGTCGAGAATGTTCTTGCGCAGCGACGAGAAAAGTACTGAGCAAAGACTTCAACGAGGAAGATGGCTTGATAATCACAAAGTCGGTCGCATCCGATCATGTCAGGTCCAATAATCTGCGTCTGGTCAGCCTATGGTATTCACCAATTGGCACGAGAAGTGTACCTTATCGAGCAACTCCATGCAACGATCGTGAAGCTTCCTTGCGTAATCGATATCGTTGCTGTAGTGTGCTCCAATGGCAATCATCGCGTCGAAGAGCATGTGTGATGGCTCTAGGCTGGCGAAGGTGAATCGATGGACGACGGGGAAAGTGGGATGAAAGAGCCTCCAATAATTGTTCAGATGTTGCTCAAACGGATACGTGCATGTGATTTGGCTCATACCGTAGTGTTCTCCAGGAAAGAGCTGTGCTCCTTCCTCATTTTCCATCTGGACCACATTCTGTGGGTCGTAGTTTCCGTAGTGTGCCATCGCACCAATACTGGCATGCATCGGCATATTGGCTGTAGGATACGACACTGGTGTGTAGGCAAAACTCGATACAGTGGTGTTCTTTTCGTCGGACGGCCAAGAAGGGTAGGGCATTGAAATGGATGACGTAGGCGACTGCGAGGCATGTGCCCAAGTCTGCTCAATGAACGAGGCATTTGAGGATGCGCGGGTTCGGACTACGCCTGAGCCGTATGGTGGGGTTGCATACATATGACCATATTCAGGGACAGGAGCTGGGGAAGCATAGCCACTTGAGCAAGAATATGGCGATTGTGCAAACGAGTCATGCCATGCTCCACTTGTAACCATACCATCGACCAGTACTGGATCGGATATGGAGTGCCGAGTCGGGTACGCCAAGTTGTGATGTTTCAGGTTGCTGAGCCTACATGTCAGCTACGTACTAGTAGATTAGGGGACGTTTTCGCAGAAAGGAGATAGCAGGAAACTGAGCTCAGGGCTTTTCGAGTATGCGTGTGATAGGAACTCACTTCGGAGGAGTCTTGAAGTTTGGATTGGATTGAAAGACATGATTGTTGAGATTGGAAGGAGCGCTCTTCGGAGTACGAGGAAGCTGAGGAGTACGAAACAAACTTGGATTGTACCTTGGAAACGGTGTGACCTCTGGCTGAGGTGATACCACCTGCTGTTGAGGGTATAGTACATCAGGCGGGAGTGTACTGGCAGGAATCATAGGCAGTGACGCGGGTGCAGTCATAGGCGATGCATTGGGGGAGTATTCGGTACTGGAGACAGATGGCTGGCGGGAAACATTGCCAAGCTCGTTACTGCAGCGTGTTAGCACTGAGCGTATCTCGAAAGACAGCAAAGCTTACTGTCGCTCCTCGTGTCGTTGTAAAAGGTCAGACCGATAGAAGCTTTTGCCACAATTGGGGTACTTGCAGACCATAGCACCCTCCTGGGCATGGTTCCGTTGATGACGCCTAGAAGCTTGAGTCAGGTCGAAACGATCGCAGGAACGAGTGTTGGCTTACCTCAGATGTTCTGCACGGGTATATGACTGGAAATTATTAGTACAATTCCACGCAAGGGCAACTGTGAAAGGAGAAAGTAAGAGACCCTTCAATTGAAGAGATGCATCGACGGGGCGTAGTCAAACTTACACGTCCACATTCGCAGTTGTGTACTTTGAGACCCTTCTTCGCCTTACTGACACGCCCTGTCTTGGTGTAGTTGACTGTAGACATAGTCGAGGTATTGTTTGGGCTTGCAGTCGACCGTCGCGCAGTGCGGGAAGAACCGGCGTCGGAACCGGTAGTGAGTGTCTTAGTGGTACCTGAACGGCGTCGAGAAGACGTAGAATTGAACTCTGCAGTAGTATCATTCGATGATGTTGATAGTTTCTTTCGACGTTTGTCTTTTGGTGAAGCAGTTGGGTGGGCAGGGATATCTTCGGGCTGCTGTTGTTGCTCGATAGTCAGAGCCAAGAGGCGGCTACTTGTCCCACGGGGTTGTGACATGGTTGACAGAGGAGGCAAAACGATGTATATACTGGAGCCGAAGGCGATGGAGCCAGGAAAGATCGGAACCGTGAGTGGAGTTTCAGGTAAGGTCAATCAAACGGTCCAGAACTGGTGGTACGGCAGACGGTTAGGAGCTAACGGTCATGTCTTGGACAGGCCGGCGTACTTCCATACAATGATGATAGGTAGACTGAGGACGTGGGAATGAATTAGGGGACGAGCGTCCGGAAAACAGACTACTAGATGGTGTGAAGTAGACCAGAAATGGGCTGTTGGCCGATCCAAATCTGGATCTTAGTGATGTAGGGATGGTAGAAGAATGCACTGCGCCCACGTGTGGTTGGAGAAAGACACCGTAAATACCTGCAGGCTGTGCCTGAGCCAGACCCGAACGAGGAATCGAGATTGAGATTATGGGACTTTTGACGAGCGACAAGGTATACTCGAAGTCCGACTCGCGCTTGTGAAATGACAGGGGCCATACTAGGGGAGTTGCCAATGGCGGTGCTGTGGACGATCAAGGACCACGTCCAAAGATGGAGCCCATGGGCATGGCTGCGGGCGTGTAACCAAACGAGTCCATAAGTAAACCAGGACGAAAGACCAGCCGCGCACCAAAAATGGGGCACGGGACAGGGTCCTCAAGTGGATAGAGGTTGGCACCGCAACGCCATGTTGCGGACCGTCCCTGCCTCAAAACACCCAAGCAGAGCGCGGTACACGCTACAATGAAGGGTGGCTTGGTACCCGAAATAGCGACTCGCCAAAAGTGCCCGTGCGCTCAGCCTTCCTGCAACATTTCTGCTTGCTTACGCCAACGCGCATGATTACAACATGCAGACAAGGCGACTGTGTTTGCAGGAGCAGGACGCGTTTCTGCGACGCACCTGAATGACGAGACTGAACTGTCACCCACCAAAATTGTCGTTCCGTGTCCTAGGATTGGCGTTGCATACCTGCGGTAAGCCCCTGCAGACGGTGTATAATATCCGACTAGTGTATTTGTGCAAGGTGTCTTTCATTGGCGTGAGGGTACTGACCCAGTGCGGTAGCGGCAGATGTGTACTGTAGTGTCATCTGTAGTCCTGCCAGCTTGAGAAACGCTGTAGAGAACACCGGGACATCAGTCTGTATGATACTGTCTGCCACTCGGCGTCCGAGAACGGTGGGTGACTGTTACATCGAACGTAACATTAATCTCGAGCTGCTGCACGCTGTGAGGAGGCGGGTCCATAGTTTTTGCCTTGTCTCTGCTCATTCGTTGATGCGCAGAGATGAAGGGCGTAAGCCCGGTGAAGAGTCCCTCCGTGCAAGCCATGCGGCTATAGTTGTTGCTAGGTCGCGATCCCGCACTATTTGGTACAAGCTTTCTCCGATCTCCACACAGACGGCTGCCAGCAAAAGCCTGTGGGAGGCCTGATGGTTTTAGCGCACCCACCCACGCAAAGCTTGGGAACACGTCAACCAGCCTTTTTTTCTTGTTCTCAGCCTTTCAAGGCTCGGGCGCGAACATGAGGCACTAGATCCACCAACGGCACGCAGATTGGCGTGGTCGAGGAGTCTGGCAAGATTGTTGACATCCTCTTCTCAAACTTGTGAGAGGCTCGATGCATAGTCCCCTCCTGAAGGACTGCGCGTCACCCCGACGCCTTAGGTTTGCGCCTGCATCCTTTAAAATTTGCCTGAGCTTGTGTGCATGTCGACGTGCGGAAGGATCAAAGAACCGCCCCAGAGCCGCTTGAAGGATAGTTGCAAGGACCTGCTTGTCGCACGTTGTCTGGCGGGCGGCGTGCCTTGCTTTCCATGCGGTCGGGATAGGGCGGCCAGGGCCGTCTGAGGAGTCGGTAGAGAGACCGAGACACTGGTCAGTTGGAAAGGGAACCCTGACAAACCATCTGACAACTGCCCACACGCATGAAGGCTGCTATAGCCGAAGAACGGCTGGCGCGTAAGTGATGAAAAAGGAGGCATGTCCGAGTACGATTATCCTGAGGCAGCACGCTCGCCCTCCAGCCTAGACCACCCGTTTTGACGAGCTTGGACGATGTTCAAGGTGGCATGTGCGTAGATGTGAATGTCGATGTTCCCAGCTGTCAGTGGACATGCCATTTGCTACTTTGGTGCAAGCGCGCAATACGAGGTCTCTGGCGACTCTGGCAAGCTCGGAAGCGGCGCCTTGAATCCAGTGGTCTTTTGCGAGGCGGAATGCTGTACAAGCACCACCCGTTCCGCAATGCACCCCACTTTGAAGAAGCGCCCAATGCCGAAGTGTGTGAGAACCCAAACCATTGCGCAGGGAACAGGCTTCATGGCGCCGTAAAGAGTCACGATGTTGTCAGCCCCCAGCTGCGCAGTGTATACCAGAAAAGGACAACTCAATACGTCAGCACGTGTCCAATCATGCCAAGGGTAGTAATCTTCAGGGTATCATTAACGAAATTCGTCGATTGCACACGAGATGCTCATGTCAACAATGATGTTGCTTGACTGCTCCGAGTCTCCCATGTCAAAATCGAGCTTCAATACCACAGGCGCAAGACGGGAAGTTTTTGCCGTCTTCCGTGACGCTTGCCGTTCATCAGATGAAGCCAGGGAAGAGTGAGTCGCTTGGGCGTATCTCGGTGCGGGCGATCTGGACTGTAAGATTCGAGAGGATTGACCCGCAGGAATCGCCTGATTGTCGACGCTAACAGCTGGCTCCTTCCTCCTCGACACCAGCGCCCATCGCCGCAGTGACTCTAAAAGGCTTCACTCTCAGAATCCATCCACCATCGCATCTGGCGCGGCTCGGACAAGCCGTACAAATATCAACACAATCAATAGTGGTCATGATCGACATTGTGATGCTACATCTTGCTCCTTTAGCACAGTACCCTCGAGCTTTCCGGTTTCGTGAATTATTGCTACATTGAGAATCGAAGGATTCCCAGTGGAGCTGGTTCAGTAAATCCATCTCGCTGCATGTCGCAATCAGGATTGTTTCAAAGCAGCTAAGGCCCGGCACGTGCCAGGCCAGCCCTGTCGCCAAAATTGTCCAATCCAGATGTTCATCGCCGGACTCAGCTCGCAGGGGTGCGAAGTCGCTTGGTGCATCCTTCGATCCATTATCATCAAGTCTTTCGGCCTGCGCCGCATTTGTTCGCTATCCGGGTGCATCGTTTGACATCGCAGAGCTATGTAAAGCTCATACTCTGATAGTTGCACAAAGCAAGTCCACAGCCTCACCGCCAGCTTTCCGTTGGTGTGGGGAAGCGCACAAGGACGCTAGCGGGCTGCTCCTTCCCGGTGCTAAACATAGGTCATTGCGCTGTGCATTGACCACAAACATAAGGCTGAACTCCTTCACCTGCAAAGAGTCTGCCTCGCTAAATGTACAACCTCCGTCATCGTTATGAACCGGATATTCATGAAATGTCGGGCTTGCTATGTATATTCTGGGTTATTTTTGGTTTCAAGTCGGTGCCGTCATGGCAGCGGCAATCGCGCAGGGAACCTGCTGACACCCAAGCGGAACAGCCTCCAGCCTTGTCTCCGCTCTGATCATCTATTGGTAAGTTCCGCATATGCGATCGCTAAGATGCATTTGACAAGGCTGTCAGCTGTGCGCATATGGTGCGTTGAGTCATGGTGAGGCAGGTCTTCTGGCCCAAGGCTGACCATAAACACAGTTTGATTTCAGTCACAACCTACGCTGTTGACATTCCTACGCAGATCTCGTTTTCCAGTCTTCCTATCTGATCGAAAATGCCGTAAATGCTGCCGAGACTACCAATCTGAATCTCACATCAGCACCCTAATGATCCTACGGATATGCAAACCGAATCATTGTTACTCGCACCCAGGCTTACCTTCCTTGACTGGCATTCCATCGTCCGCAACTCATATCCGACACATCACACTTGCACTTGGATGTCATCGACCACAGGTCCCCTTCCTCAAGCCTGAGGCAGGGACCTCGTCATGTCAGCTTTCCCAAGACAATCTGTCTGCTGTCTACACGCCCATACCAATCATGCAGTTACCCCAATTCATAAGCCCCCCGAAGCCTCTTTAGAGCTTTTATGAACTCGGTTGCCATAACGGGCGGGCGGCACGCGCACGTTTCTTGGGACGCATCCGTGCAGTTGTTGGTTCCCAACACCTTGGTTTCATCTTACCCATCCCTTTCCCCTGCATCGCAGCTTGCATCATCGCAGTTCCATGTTTCGTATACCTTTCCCTCGGACTCACCGAGGATCAAGAGGGCGAAGATCGCAGGATTTGCGCAGGATGCGTAGAACATCCGGCACGCGCGAAAGGATTTTGCAGCGGAGGTGTCCTTCCGATGCGTACGCCGCACTCGAGCATGAAGACTGCGTACCGAGACATTCTGAAACACCTCGATAACTGTTTGACGAAGGTTGCAGTAACGGCCGTCAGCAACTGATAGATGGGTTGAGCATACCCTACGTTGGATAATAGTCACATCGCTTTACGTAGATATCAATGTACAAGCCCGCAGTCAATCCTTTACGCAGTTCGAGCGCCATATGCGGACTCAGCATTCCGTGCGTGACGAAGCGGTATCAACGGGTTGAGGGCTTGCGGATTGATTGCTTGTGCGCAAGGATGCTGGTAAAGGAGGCGCGTTGAGACTTGAGGATACAGAGCTGCGTTATGGCAAGGATATGTTGGGCTTGAGTTTCTTCGCGGGGCTGTCGCTCGAGTGCTCCTCTTCGAGACAGTCAGTCGATGCATTGCGCTTCTTTGGTCGAAGTGTTAAGCCTGAGTGGCTCATGGTTCCTATGCTGTCAGTAGTCGCGCGTGATAGCGAACAAGTGTAGTGAGTGACGACATGGTGCACAAATGAAGAGATATGCGTGATGGGAGCCTGGGTCATTTGCTACAAGTACGACACAAGGTAAGACGGGACAATGAGAACGGAACATATAGAAGTCTTAGATTTGACTCGTACTAGCAAACGGCGCTTTTGCAAGCCAGGCTTTTAGTAGCCGCTCAGAACCGCCTCCTGTAGATGGTGTCAGTGCAAATCTTTACATCTGGTACATTGATAAGACTTACCTTTGCAATCGAGTACAAAGGCTTGATGCCGGTCCAATACTCAAACTGATGCACACCCTGTCCAACAAGGACCTCGAGGCCATTGACAATCTTCCAACCAGCGTCTTGTGCCAATTGAACCAATGCTGTGACAGGAGGCTTGTAAGCCATCTCAAGCAGAGTTATCTGCCCAGCATTCTCCGCTATCTTGGCCTTTTCGAACAGCGCAATCAAGGTCTCGCGAATGGTTGGGTCAATCGGCTTGTCAGCAGGAATAGTGCCAATGGCTACAGTAGGCAAACGCTGCAAAGCTTCGATGGCGCTTGTGTCCTTGATGACGCGAATGTCGTACTCGGCAGGGAAGTCGGCTTGCAGGTTCTCCATCTTCTCAACATTGCGGCCGAGAAGGTAGATGGGGCTGTATTGCATCTCGTGCAATGCATAGATGGCTGCACGGCTGGTTCCTCCTCCGCCGATGACAAGTCCGGAGTGTTGCTCGCCGGGCAAGCGCTGGTCACCAGCGTTCTTCAGGACCAGGACCATACCAAGGTAGTCCGTGTTGCGGCCAATGAGGCGCGTGACTTCCTTGCCGGTCGCTTCATCAATCGAGATCTCTGGCACAATGGTGTTGAGAGCGCCGATAGCTTCGACCTCAGGACCGATGCCGTCAAGAAGAGGGCCTACATCCTGCTTCAAAGGAATAGTTACGCTGGCTCCACCAAAGTCGGGTGCGCGGATGATGTCCTTGATTGGCGTTGTGTCAGTGGTCTCGACGATAACGTAGTTATGCGGTAGTCCTGTTTCGCAGAAGAGCCTGTTGTGCAGGCGCGGACTCGGACTTTGTTGAACTGGTGAACCGAAGATGCAGAACTTCTTGGGTTGAATCACGCCCATCAATGACAGACCACGACGGATGTCGGCAGCCGTCAGTTGGCCAGGGGCGGTTGCTGACGGAAGCAGAGGATGCGAGACTGGTGTCATGAAGCCGTTCAATATCCTACTCAGCTTGCCGTGCTCGCCCATGTTGACGGCAATAACGGGTACAGGGTGTGCAGATTCTGCCCATGACTTGAACTCAGCGAGAGCAAAGTTGTCTTTCAGTGACTTGGCTACACCAACAAGCTTGATGACATGACCGTACTGCAAAGCACGGTTGTAGTATTGGATCCAAGAGCCATTGTCCCAGCTCAGCTCACCTCTGGGGTCGTGATGGCTGGCGATGATACTTGTATGACCCTTCTGTTCAGTGACCTCACGGAGGATGTACTCAGGCATGGTCATCTCCAAGTCCAAAAACTCACAGCCTAGTCGGAGTGCCGTCTGGTACAGTTCACGAGCCTCATTGTACGCCTCATCAGGGAACTTGCCGCCTTGCAGCTGGGTTCTTATTGTGAAGATGACCGGCAAAGACGTGACTCGGCGAAGTGCGGTAAGTTGCTCAATGACAAACTCAGGTGACGGTAAGCCCTCAGGTGACTTTGGGTCCTCAAGCAGATCAACACGCAACTCGACTGCATCCGCGCCTACAGTAATCTCAGGTAAGTCCTTCTGCAAAGGCTCGACTTGTGGGGCTGAGAGGCAAACAAAGAAGGACTGCTTCTTCTTCCGGATTGACTGCAGCGCCGATGTCCTTCCTGTAATCATCTTCAAGAAACGACCGAAGTCTTCCAGGGCTCTGACGAACCCAGTTGAATCCGAGCTCTGGCTGTTGACTAGATAGTTGCTGCACTCCAGGTACCAAGGTTTGCGTCGCAGCCAAACACCCATCATATCCTCGACGTAGGCTGGTCGCGTCTTATCGATCTGGAGGAAATCCATCACCTTGGTGATATCGCGAGACACCAGCAGAACAACTCCGTTGCTCTTTTGATAGTCAACGAAGATCTTACGTGCTTCTGGGATCTCGACAACACCACCACCACACGCGAAGACGTGGCCGGTGGGCTTCTCTTTCATGGTCTTTTGCAGGATTTTCAGCTCCTCAGCTCGGAATCCGTCCCAGCCTCGCTCCTTGATAAGTTCGGGAATGGTCATGCCTAGGCGTTCCTCGAGAGCAGTGTCCAGATCAACGAGTGGCCATCCTAGAAGACGAGCAGCCCAGCCACCTGTCGTTGTCTTACCAGCTCCGCGCATACCGATGAAGAAGATGGACTTTTCCTTGACAGTCGAGCCTATTCTTTGATCATAAATGGCCTTGTGCGGCAGCTCTACACCATCAATCTCGGCCTTGAAGATCTGGTTGAGAGAATCCCAGTAGCCTGGCCATGTCTTGCCAGTGCACTCTTTCTCGAGGATAAGTACAGGCTTGGGTGCGACCAATGCAAGGACAGCGAAACTCATCGCAACACGGTGGTCATCATAGCAGTGGATGCCCTCTTTCGGTGCATTGAGCTGGTAGCCTCTCCCATCGACCTCGATGCCATCGTCGAATTGTCTGCAAGTCACACCGAACTTGGCGAGTTCGTCCTCCATCGCCTGAATGCGGTTGCACTCCTTCACACGTTGGTTGGCGATACCGTAGATGCGCGTTGTAGTCGAAGTGCCGTTCGAGGATGCAACAGCGGCGAGGACTGATGCGGTGAGGAAGGCATCGGTCATGGGCTCCATGTCAATCTCCTTTACGGCCTTTAGCTCGCCTCGCGGTGGGCCAGTGACGGTGGTCGATGTAGCTGACTGCTCGACCTTGCAACCCATGGGCCTCAGTACCTCAATCGCGAAACGGGCATCTCCCTGCAGAGAGCTTGAACCAATGTTTGGCACAGTGCAAGTGGTTCCTGTGATAGCTGCAATAGCTAAGGGGTATGTAGCCGAACTGGCGTCGCTCTCAACGACATACTCAGCAGGGTTTGTGTAAGGCTTGTTGGGAATGTGGTAGGTGTTTGCGTCGGTAGACGACTTCTCGACCTGAACACCGAACGAAGCCATCATAGTGATAGTCATGTCGATGTATGGCTGCGAGATAGGCTTGCCGCCAACCAGACGGAGGGTGACGGGCGTCTTCGAGTAAGGCGCACACAGCAGGATGGAAGACACGTACTGCGAGGAGACGGTCGCTGCAAGCTCAATCTCTCCAGTGAACGCTTTCTCTCCCTCACTGGCACCGAAGCCGCCGCAAGCTGCAATGCGCAACGGCAAGCTACCTTGGTTCTCCTGATAGTCAATGTCGATGCCCATGGTTCGCAGCGACTTGACAAGTGGACCGATCGGACGCTCCTTCATCCTGGCATTGCCGGTGACGACGGTCGACGTAACGCCCTCAACGGGCTGCGCAAGCGCCGTGACTGAGGTCAGAAAACGTGCCGCAGTACCAGCATTTCCGAGGTAAAGCTCATCGTTCGTTGCTTTTAATTTGCCACCGTTTCCAGTAACGACCAGCTCCTTGCCGTCATTCTCCCACGAGAAGCTAGCACCTTGCATCTTTGCAAGTGCGTCCAACATGACCTGGGTGTCATCAGAGTGCAGCAGGTTGCTGATGCGGCATGAACCACTTCCAAGTGCTGCGAGCACGAGCACTCGATTCGAGATACTCTTGGATCCAGGAGGCGTGCAGGTAACATTCAAATCACTGGGGACGCCAGGATGGACGGAGACGCTGGGAGAGAGGGCGATCTTGATGTCACGGTCGGCGACTGTGCTGGCCTTCTTTTCGTGTGTACGGCCAATGCCAGACAGAAGGACGACCTTCTTGATGCTGCCGGAGTTCTTCTTGTCAACAGCCATGATCTTGATGAGTTCGTCGACAGGGCAGTGCTTGTTCGCCGTCCGTCTGCGAACAGTCTTGTCTGCGAGTGAGGTGGGCAAGCCGTAGCTGGCAATGCACTTAGTCAGGCGTGCAACTGCAGAGGGGTCCAAGACGCCCAAGTAGCGCGCCAGCTCCGCCTCCTTGACCATACCGATCGCAACTGCCTCGCCGTGCAGGATCTGGGGTGTAAGGATAGCCTCGAAGGCGTGACCGATCGAGTGACCAAAGTTCAACAGGTTGCGCAGGCCGCCCTCACGCTCATCAGCTGAGACGACTTCTGCCTTGACACGCACGGAGCCGAGCACAATGCGCTTGAGTATGCTCGCAATGCTGTCGAAGTTCCTTCTCCCGCCCTCAGTCTTCTGGTCGAGCGCTGCAAGAATTGTGTTGGCATTGCCCTCCAGTGTGGTAAATTCCTTCTCGTCCCAGATAGCAGCTGTCTTGACAACCTCAGCCATACCGTTGATGACTTCGCGCTTCGGCAGAGTCTCGAGGAAGTGCAGGTCGATGTAGATGCGTTCAGGCTGCCAGAAGGCACCAACGAGGTTCTTGCCCGCTGGTGTGTCGATGGCTGTCTTGCCGCCAATACTTGAGTCGACCATGGCCAGCAATGTTGTAGGCACCTGGACAAACTTGATGCCACGCATGTAGGTAGCGGCGACGAAGCCAATCATGTCACCAATGACACCACCGCCCAAGGCGATGATGACGGTGTCGCGCGTGCATCCTTGCGACAGCAGCCAATCCTCCACCACGCCCTTTGTGTTCCGTGACTTCGAGTTTTCGCCGGGAGGAATCGTGTACGTGAGCAATCGCGGTTTTGTTGCGCTAGCCGAGGCGGCAGCACTGAACGCCTTCTCGAAGGTAGGGATGTAGGTCGGCCCAATGTTGGTGTCGGTGATGAGGACGTAGGTGGATGAAGGGATGTTCTTCACCAAGTCTTCGGCGATGTAGCTCTGCCAGAGCCCGTAGTCGACCACGATCGAGTCCTCGCCCAAAATGGTGACCTTTGTAGGCGCCGTAGATAATCCGTTGGTCGCCATGATTGTTGGTGTTGAGGTTGGTGCGGGCAGACTGCCCTGCTGCCAAGTGAGCTTCTCTACAGTTAAAGAAGCCTCAGAAAATTAGTATACAAGTCGGCGTAATCAGAAGATATGCAATTGGCGAGTAACAAAGAACACTCTCTTTCAGGATGCTGTTGTGTTGGCGCGGGTCAATAGCTGTTGGAGTGACTCTTCGGCAGAATTTTGGCCGGCATCGGTGGGGCTGAGAGCGGTGAGCCCTCAGCTGTCATGGCCGCAGGGCTGCATTTCTCCACCGAGCCACCAACTCCACCTTCGCCCTGTTGCAAGACAATCCATGTGCGATGTGCAGATCCGTGGCACCTCACCTGTGTGGTGCCTGGAGGTAGTCACCTGCAAATGCTCGGCATCGCGCCTGCTTAAGTAGAGTCAACCGTCTTGCAGATGACAGCTGATCCGTTTCTGCTCACCTTCTTCATCATGTCATCCACAGCGCCCATCAAGGTCTTGATCACTGGCTTTGGCCCGTTCATAGATGTCACGACAAACCCTTCGTGAGGAGATAGCTGCCAGGCTTCCAGCCTCGATCCCTGGTCTAGATGGCGAATCGATCCAGTTGGTCGTTCCGACCGATCCAATGCCTGCAGCATATCACGACATCAAGGAGCAGGTCACAGTCCTGATTGAGACTCATTCTCCCAACCTCGTCGTGCATATGGGCTTGGAAGTTAACAGCGACCGTGGCGTCCCAGAAATCGAACGCAGTGCGCCAAGGGAAGGCTAACACGAGTTTCCTGACATTCGTCGCAAGGTCTTCACACGTGCTGTGAATAAAAAGGTCTTCGCAAAGTCACCTGTCTCGCTGTCAACAACCCTGGACACCGATGCTGCGGAAGAGATCTGGCGAGCCGGCTGCGCCTCAATCACCCTTGCAACCCAGAAAGGTTCGCAACATGACGCCAAGAAGGGAATAAGGCCAAGGTTGCAGAACGTGCTTGTACAAATCAGCGACGACATTGGGACCTATGTCTGTGGCTTTTGTTACTATGTAGCGCTGCTCCACCTTCAGAGTCTTACCGGCAGACGGCACGCAGTGTTCTTCCACGTTCCGCCGCTAGAGACTGAGGCTGACATATTGGTTGGCGTGAGAGTGACACAAGAGGTGGTTCGCGCACTGGTCTATGTCATGTAAAATCCGTAGGCTGGAAAATGCGATGCAGGTACCGAGGAGTGGGCCAGAGAGGCTGACCGGTCAGGCGGCTGAAGAGCTTGACTATGCGCTAAGCATTTGGAAACGAACCCAAAACGACCAACTTAGCCCGCTTGGGTTAAGTTCTTCAATATTGTACTGGAGGCCTGACAGGTAACCACAGCGAAGCGAGCCTTGGAAACAAGATCCGAGGCGCAAAGACTGCCGCCAAACGCAGTACTTATTGTGCTGCCGCGCCCTCGAGGAATCCTATATCTTGGCTTCCTTACCTTGTCTTACCTGGTTCTACATCGATCAGATCGAGCTAAGTCACTTTGACCCCCTTCGAATCAGACTAGAATCAATCATCTACACAATGCTTGTCAAGACCATCATCGCTGTGGCTGCCATGGCCGGCTCCGCCCTTGCTGGGTTCGATATCAAGACCGGACAGACTGAGTGGTGGTACACCGACGATGCAGAGGTATGTTCATGACCTACAAAGAATTGCTCTGACAAGACGGCTGCTTACCATGACAGTCCACATCTATTGTCAACGCCCTTTCGAAAGCCATTGACAGCTATGAGGCAGCACTCGAGACTCAAGCTGATGTGAAGAGCGCACAAGGCGCATTCTACACATATGCACGAACACGCGACGGTATTCCAGACATTGTTACCGCAACAGGTACATCTTACACACAGTACACCACGCTTCCTGACTGGTAAGTTTCGTCCTGTCGAACCCCGTAGAGTGATTCAGGAGAGAGAGAGCAAACTCGAACCTTGAACCATCTTCGCACTCAGATCACCGTTAACCCCCTCAAACAGGTACACAGCCATGCCAGCAGACGCGCTCAAAGTCTTCGAGAGCGTCCGCAAGGAGGAGGACAAAATTTGGTCGAGCGTTGTTCCTAAGGCCGCAAGAACGAGCGGTAGCCAGGGCGCTGCGCCTCAAGTAACTGGCATGGGTGTCTACGCTCACGGTGCCATCGCCGCTGTTGTAGGTGCTGTTGCCGTTGCCTTGTAGTCGATGGTGTGCTTGGGACAGAAATTGCCCTGCTATGAGTTTATGATGTCTCATGTCTCTCGCTTTCTTAGATATACCCAATCTCAATCTTGTTTTGTACTTGCACCCTGCGTTTCCCGAGCACTCCGTCCATTTGATACGCGTACAGTAACAGACGACCCAGCCTGCGCTCGAGCTCAGCCCTTCAGATGTTACGCCTCTTGATTGGTTGATTGATTTATTGATATCAGTGGCTCCCCTGGTAATCCAGGAGTTTAGTTACAGGTGGTTGAGTGTTATGAGAGTACAAGGGATGGTGAGGGCTTTGTTGAAGATGTATTTTAAGCAAAGCTCGTAAGCACGGTTTGATTGGTTCTCAGGGATGAGTACAGTATCGGAAACGGGTTGGTAGTTGTCTAGTCAAAGATCTTGGCGACTGGGTAGCAATGAGTAGTATAGAGTAGACTGTTGTCAGGACGAGCCACCCTGACAAGGCCGCTAATGGGCTAGTGCAGCCCTACCCGAGTGTATATCCCTGTTGCTGGGGCTCTTGCAGTTTCCAGCGATTCATCTCATGTCCAATTGAACCTGCTATTGCTCGACTATGTTATCTCATATCATCTACTCCTAACATGTGAATCGCTCCCCCTAATAGAGGTAGCCCAGTGTCAGAGGGAGTGAAGATATCCACCGATCGCCATCTGTTTGCTAGCGGTCCGTTGCAGTGTTTGCTAACGGTCCACTGCACTGATTGTCCAGCTCATTCGGTTAGCTCGGTTTGCTTCCCCAACCCTTCACTGCTATCCTCTTCTACTATATAGTCCCGATCGATTCCAGCCAATAGCTAACAGATCAATCAACATCTCAACACTTCCACACCCAGTCGGCATACATACACGATGTCTCAGCGCGAAACTCCATCTTCCAGCGAGAGCATGCATCTGGAAGAAGGACGTCAATCTCACGCCAGCAGCCCTCATGGAGGAACGACCACCCAAGACTATGCCCAGGTGCAGCCTGTATCCCCACAGGGTCATCTCAGGGGGACAGGAACCCTATATGATGTGGGATTCTGGATCCGAGGAGTGGCAAGTCCGCAAGTGGCCCAATCCGCGCCAGTTGACAGTAGAGAGGATCCGCTTGAGGCGGAGTTAGAACAGTTGAGGAAGTGGCAGAGGAAGATGCAGCAAGAGCTAGAATAGGAACAACTGCGTACTGAAGGCCCGCTTCATGGCTGGAGATGCCGCAGCGCGTCAAGCGTTGATACCACGCCTACTACCTGTCTCAAAGGACGCTTCTCAGAGACGAACGCCCTACCTCAACCCGAGCCCTACATGTCTACAACCAGCGGGACCGCCAGGACTACAACCGTTGGGTGCGAGACTATTGATTGATTGATTGGCTGATTGAATGTTTGTTTGTTTGTTTTCACGTCTTATGTGAGTCTGAGACTATGGACAACAAATTACGAGCGGGTTCCTTAGGCCTCTGTAGGCCCCCTCGGGAGCCCTTGGGGTATATAGGATGAGGGGTGCCCTCTCTAAGGGCACTCAGCGGTTCAATCAATTACTACTGGTGACCTACTGCTATCTGCCTATCGTACCTGTACACCCAGGCCTTTCTTTACACTCATCCATGTCAAGACTCTACCGAGCTCTCCAGGGCTCAGCCCATCACAGGATAGACAGCCGTTGCCCTGTTTTCTGTGAGTGTGGAGAACCATTGCTCTGTTGTATGAAAGCTGCTGCTGCTGAGGTTTTCCTTCAACCAAGTGCTGAATTGTGTGGTACGTAGATCAGCTGAAGAGTTTTCCGCTCAGGGGAAAGCTGAAGACAGCAACAGAGGGCTGCAAGGCTTCCATAATACTTGCAGCAGCAAAACAGCATTGGGGAACAAGTTCAGGATGGCATCTCAGATGATATGAGACAAAAATCGATAAAGATTAACCTTTTGCTCACGTCTAAAAGTTGGTATTTGGATGAAAACACGCGTCCCGGATGATGTAAGACTTGACAGGTCTAGGGACACTAAGTGCACGAAGCAAACAACCGAGCCAGAATCCTTGGAGGCTTTGTAGGTACTGCTTCGATGGGCTGCCAATGGCGCGTACAGAACAGGGCATGACGATGAAGGTTGGAGGGAGGGGTCCACGCGGCCCGAGAAGATACGCCCACCGCGAAAACGCTTGGCGGAACTCACCCCATACAAACCACACACGAATTGTTCACAGCACGGTTGTTTAAGTAGTAATTAAAGCATCTTACGTTTTTGAGGCTAGAGATTACTATAGGATAGCTATCGCAAGCTGATTTCTTGGTGTTGCAGCTGTCAATAGCCCGTCATTCTGCCCTCAATATCAATACAATCTTGCAGTCTTTGAGGCATACTATCAACCCGTTCATTTATAAACTTCTATGTGATACTTTCCCACCCCTCAATAGCGAGATCCCTTGTTTCAAAGACATCCCAATAAGGAAATTGCTTAAGGTACTGCTTTGGAGGCTGCCAGCAGTTCTCAATTGGGGACAGGTCAGGTGAGTTAGGTGAATTGGAATAGGAGTTAAGGTTGTTCTCCTCTTTCCACATCCTTACAATGTTCTTCTTTAAACCTCCTCCATGCCCAGAGTCGTTATCTTCTTCAAGAATGAACTTGTCACCTCTCAGAAGCCAGGGTTTGACAATAGGCTCAAGTGTGATTGCTCGGCTTGGTCCCACCTGAGCTACACCGACCAAAAAGGTACAGTAACCCAATAGATATGGGTACTGGAAGCCAAACAGTATATACCCGTGACACAAGGATCTTGTTGCGGTATGCCTTAAGAGAGAGCTTGCTGTTTTTGTTGCCAGGTACTTTGTAGAAGTTGAGGTTGCTCTTGAAGTTGTACCCAATGGCTGCCCATCAATGAGCTCTCTCAAAGTCCTTCTCATGCTCTCTGTTCAAGGTCTCTTGTATACAATCCTTGCAGTACCGTTCCCCAGGCCTCTTCAGAATGGTCACGGGTATTTCCCCTTACATCTACTGGCCAGCCCTTGGACAGACTCTGGAGCTGGACCGGAGGCTCACAGGCCACCTGTATATATTCCTCATAAACCTTGAGGCTTAACCATCAAGGATTTGTCTGATCTCATCCCATATGGCCCCAGACGGCCCCAATCCATCCTGTGTCCGATTGCCTGCCTACAGTAACCTCACAAGAATTTGTTACGATCAAAGGGCAACCCGCAGCAACACTGAACGAACAGGACTACGCAATGATACGAGAGAAGCCGAGGAACTGTAGTATCGATCGACCCAAGCAGTGGGCCGCGTCGGCAACACTTGGCACGAGCAGTATACTCGGTACGATCGGTATACTCGGCACGGTCAATATACTCAACACAAGCAGTATACCCGGTACGATCGGTATACTTGGTACGATCAGTATACTCAACACGAGCAGTATACTCGGTACGATCGGTATACTTGGTACGATCGGTATACTTGGCACGGTCAGTATACTCAACATGATCAGTATACTTGGTACGATCAGTATACTCAGTACCGAGCAATCTGAGCAATCTGAGCAATCCGAGCAATCCTCTGCTCATGTATATAGCAAGTAGACACGCTGCCCTTATGGCATTGTGTTCAACCTCGTCAATCAACTTTGTTATTGGAATTTCACTTGCTCTCGAGCCAGACAGTATACTCTGTATTACTCATTGCAACCAGTCGCCACGGTCTTTGACTAGACGACTACCTGACTATTACGAAGGTTATTACAACCCGCCCGGATAGTCTACCCCTGACCACCCGAGCTTTGCTTAGGTGACTGTCAACCCCTATGGCTTTCTGTACCTCTGCTCACCCCTGAGAACCAATCGACTAGTGTCTACGAGCTTTGCTTAAGGCACGAATCGTAACAGAGGGGTCTCAAAGTTGTGTGGATGAAAGCATTGAGGTGTGGGGCTTTCGCGGTGGGCGTATTTTCCCGGGCCGCGTGGGGTCTTTGTTGTCGAGGTCCACGAGTTGGCGGGGCGCTCAGCTGGCGCTGGCGCACGGTCGAGCCGAAAAGCCAGCCCCCTCCGCGCCGACCCACGCTCTGGAACAAGTGGCCTCTGTGCTCCATGCAGCAGATGTGCAGAACCGTCGACGCGTGCGCGTGTTCATGTCTTAACTCGGACAAGGGAGCCTTGCCAAGCGAGAATATTTCGACCATGCGTGGTATAGTGTCGTCTAGAAGGGAGGACACAGCTTCGGATCTGCCGACGAGGCTTGAAACAGCCATTTCTGCTTGTATGGGAATGACCGTCGTTCAGCTGAGCAAGCCATGAGTTCGACGAGGCCCTTTAGATTTCCCAGCTGGGTCCGGGGCATACTGGTGGTACTTAAGGGAGGGAACGGTCTGGTCAATCCTCGCAACATTACAGCTCAATTCCTCCGCATCGTTGAGCATGACCGAGTTCAATTCGAATGGCTTTGGCCAGACTTTTGGAAGTGGCTTCTGCCAAGTAGAAGGTCAACCAGAAGCGTTTTCACAGAGTGGGTTTCAATACCCAAATGGCAGACTTGTACACACGATTGTCAATCCCCCAGTCGAGAAACCAGCAAAGGATCCCCTGCCAGTACCTCCACGACCGAAGAAGCGCATCATTATCTGCTGCGATGGCACTTGGCAGAGCTCCGCCCACGGTGCGCAAACCATCCCATCAAATGTGGCGAAGATGAGCAGGTCCATCGACTCATGGTACATCGACGAGAATGGATTGATGGCGCCTCAGATTGTTTACTACGACGCTGGAGTAGGCACAGCCATGGGTAAGTTGGAGTCTCTCTGGAGTGGTAAGTTCCTAAACCTCAGGTCAATTGAATTCATTACCGCAACTAATGGTGTACAAGGAACAACTGGTGGCGGTCTTGATGAGAACGTCTGCGAGGCTTACAACTTCATTGTGAACAACTACAGCCATGGTGACGAACTGTTCTTCTTTGGCTTCTCACGTGGAGCATACACGGTGCGTGCCTGCGCCGGTTTAGTCTGTCGAGTTGGTATCTGTCAACCAAGTGCTATGGGCCAATTCTGGGAGATGTACGCCAATTATAAGTCGATCAGCGCCAGCGAGCCGCTAGAGAACAGTCTGTGGGCAAAGAGGTGGGAAGGCGACCCTAAGGATAAGACCTACCAGATCCAAGTGAAGGGGGAAGAGTGGGAGTTTACCAAGGGCTCCGGGTACAGCTGGTTCAAGCAAGCTGAGAAGAGGGTCATCATCAAGGTTGTTGGCGTGTGGGACACTGTCGGAAGTCTTGGCTACCCCGACAATGTCTGGACGGACGTGAGTGCGAAGAACAGGCCATACGGATTCCACAACACAGAGATTCATCCACGTGAGTAGCCTTCCCTCCAAGTCGCTAGAAAATCCGGACACAAACACCCCCAATCTGGGAGGCAGTCAAGGTTTTCGACCAAATATCGTTGCTTCTATAGGTGACTATACTCGGACGTACTGGATGACCTTAGGACTTCAGCCTCACGACAAGGATTATGGTTGCCCAATCTGGTTAGCTTTTCTACGACATGAAAGTTTCGTGAGTATAATATAAGTGCTTACTCTGCGATTTAGAGATCGAAAACGCATTCCATGCTCTGGCGCTCGAGGAGCACCGTAAAGCGTTCGGGCCAACTCTGTGGTCGCTCCCTGAAGGAAGCAATACAAACTTGATCCAGTGCTGGTTTCCGGGTGTAAGTCCCTTGCCCTGGCTCTACAAAGTGTCTCTTGCTGATCTCTCGCCAGGTTCACATCAATATCGGAGGCGGCAGTGGTGACGGCATGAAAGACCTCGAGCAGGGTATAGGCAATGCAGACGGCCCAAAGAAGAAGAATACAAAGCAGGAGCGGAGCAAAGGTGACCTCGAGATCATGAGCGTTACTACGTTCTTCTGGATGGTCGACCGTTGCCACCCTTTTCTTCGCTTCAAGATCGACCCTGCCATCACCGACAACTACAAGTGTGCTCTTAGTACGATCCTGGAACGGACCAAAACCAATACGAAAGACTCCAAAGACCCCAAATCCGAACACTCATATGGCGGCTGGGGTGTTGCACCGATCATTGACTCGTTCCAGGGTGCCATGGCGGCCGCCGGCTCCGAAACTCGTACGCCAGGCCATTACTTCGTAGATCGCGAGAATGCTCACAATCATGAGCATCACCACAAGAGAACCAACGAGTACATGCACCCTGTTGTTCAGCATGCTCAGTTGCAGATAAAGTACGAACCAGAAGCACTCAAGGGCTTCAAACGGATATCGCTCGGCCCAGGCAAGGGCCACCATTGGGTCAAGACGTACAAGCCAGCCGAGCCGGGACTTCTCAAGAGAGGCTGGTCTTACCTCACTGGCGCCGCTGTTCCGTCTGCCAGTGAGAATGACATCGTCTCCATCCCAGAGTTTGTGATCCCTGAACATGGAACGAACACCGATGGTACATGGTGGTTCCCATACGAGAGAAATCTGATCGTGACGGCGGCGCTACGAGCCAATACTGGCGAGCTCCTCCCTCCCGAGAAGCAGCCTTCTCAGAAGGACATTGAAGTGGATGGAGAAGGAATGCAGTTCTTGAACGACCTGGATGAAGACAACAAGGACGTGGAGGGGTTTCGTGCATGGAAAAGACAGAAGATAACGAGTTCGAATCCTAAGTATCCCGGCTCCTGGTAGGCAAAAGCCACAGCCAAGTGCCCTTCTGGGCGCAGTCACAATCTAGACCACCACGCATAGAGATCGCAAAATCACATGAACACCTCAGATACATTGCATGTTTTAACGTCCTATGTGACTCTGAGATGTAAGGGGCTGACCCTGAGGGTAGATACCTGATTGATGGATTGATGGATTGATTAACAGTTACTACCATAGGGTACCAGTGAAGTAAAACTGGCTCAGAGTACCATGGAGAACTTTACTAAGCCCGGGTGTAAGTCTGTCAACCATCCCATTAACCCCCCTGTCAGGCTTTGGTGGGTTGGATGGTGATGGTGCAGGACTGTACTATGAAAAGTCACCTGTGTGAACATTCACTTGCCAAGCTACTAGTTTACTATGGGATCCCCACTGTAAGTTGCAGTGGTGATCAATTGGGGGTTTCTTTGGTCCCAAAGGCTGAGGGGTCAGTACATTTCTTCAACCACCGATAACGATCATGGAAGGTGCATGGCTGACCGCAGCTTTCACAGGGCTGCACAAGCGGCTCTACAACATTGCTCTGAGCGGCGAAGGGCATGTGTTATACGTGCGACTGTATAATGGTTGCTGATATGTACGGACTCCCCTGAGCTTGATTCACTACTGCGACATATTTACGTTATGTAAAAATAAAGGCTTCTAAGTGGCTGTTTCTATCTTGGTTGACAGAATTGACAGTCTGGTACATGTCTTGCAGAGCAACAACGTGGTGAATGGCCACTCACAAGGCTGTACGCCCTCATGAACCACTACTGTATGCATCTGAGCTGCAGGGGCGCTGGCGAGGGGCGGGAGAGTGGCATTGCGTACGTGCAGTTGGGGAGTAATAGTGGCTCGGAGGATGGAATGCAAGCATACGGGTAGCATTGATTACGAGGTATGGCCTTCTACATTACTGTCGGAGCCGGCGTGACGAGAGATTGATCGATTCGATATTCTGAATGGCTGCTTACAATGTGTACCTGAAGAATGGGCTCTTGTCTCCCAACATCAACAGATCCTCATCCGAGTACCTTGCCCTAATTGCCTCCTCGCCGTGTTCTTGGATCAGCTGATCTCTCTTCTTGTTCTCCTTGCCGTACGCCCAGCGTAAAACAAAGGTCATAGCAACAGCCGCAATACACATTGCTAGACTGGCCGCAAACCCCGTCGTGTACTTCGGCTTCTCCCTCGCAAGATAGATGTTACTACCCATGATGCCACCCATATTGCCCACGGAAATGAGTAGCGCCATACCAACAGCGCGCTTCGAGCTGGGTGCCAGTGAGTTTGCGACCCACGAAACCAGGCAAGTGAAAGGGCAATACAGGCCAGCTGCGACTGGGAAGAGGAAACCGTAAGTTACACCAGGGTATTTAGGATGCGGGATAGCGAGTTGAGCAATGAAGCCTATAATGGCAATGCAGTAGCCACCGATGATCCAGGATGAGCGTATCTGGGTGAGATCAGAGCCCCAAGCCCAGATAATGGTGATAATGGCGGCAAAGACGTAAATGGGAATCGTAAGAAGTTGGGCATTTGCGCTGGAATAACCGAGGCCGTTGATCACGGTTGGAACTGTCGCAGTGAAACTGCGGAGGTTAGCGAACATTGACTTGTACACTCAAAAGTGATACATACCCATAGACACCTACAGTGTTACCCCAGAAGATAACAACACCTGCCCAGACTTTCCAGTCTGAGAGACCAGCAATGATGTGCTGTTTTCCCATCTTATCGTTGTTCGTAGCCTTGCCCTGCCCACTGCTGGAGTCGTCCTGCAGTCGGCGAACCAGCAGATCTCTCTCCGGCTGCGTAAGGAACCCAGCTGTCTCGGGGCTGTCTGGCAGGATCTTCCAGATGACCAGAGCAAGGGCAACTGGAATCAAGCCCTCGATCAAGAAAATCCATTGCCATCCAGCAATCCCGGACCTCCCGTCCAATTTCTCGATGCCGAAGGCGAGAAGGCCAGAGAAGGCACCTGCCAGTGATGCAGCGACATAGAATACAGCCATGCGTCGCTGCAATTCGAAGCGCCGGTACCACAGTGTAAGCAGAAACGTTGCTGCGGGGAAAAATCCGGATTCTGTGACACCAAGGAAGAAGCGGCCTGCTAGGAGCCCTCCGTAGCTGTTTACGAGACCCATGAGCGTCATCACCAAACCCCACGAGAACATAAGAATTGCCATCCAGTGCGAGGGCCTCACCATCTTGAGCACGATGTTCGAGGGAACTTCGAGGAGTGTGTAGGGTATGAAGAAGAGGGTTACGGCGGTGTTGTATTGAAGACCGCGTAGATTGAGGTCGACGTCCATACCGGCGATTTTGGCGTTGCCAACTGCGATGCGTTAGTATACATCCGATTGACCAAGGTGTAAGTGGAAAGGTTTACTGTTCGAGCGATCAATGAAAGCGACGAGGTATAGCAGAGCAAGCATAGGTACAAGTCGATAATCAACCTTGCGCAGTACGCGGTTCGCTTCCGCTTCGTCTAGCTCGACATGCTGCGCTTCCAGCTCGCCTGAAGAAGTTGAGATCTTCTCTGCATTGAGGTTCTCGATGCGCTGCTCGTTGTTAAAAGAAGTGCCGCGCTTCTCATCGGTGCCTGTGGACGCCATCGCTGCTTCGTCTCTCGAGACTGAGATGGCTGGAATTCGTGAACGTGCCTTCACGGCAGTCATACATTCTCTAAAGATCTTCGGTCTATTCTAACTCCGAACGGCTTACCACCTTCGGCACTTGCAACTCTGCCTTGCATCTCAACGTGCCAGCAACGCGCAACAAGCGAGTAAGGTGCATCGATGTGTGGGCCCTCGCACGACTATCTGGGGTAGCCAGCGCTTCGGTGTGTGGCGTGCGGGGTAAATGTGGGAAAGATCAGCGTGCAGATCGGCATGACGCCTGTTTCGCTAGATGCTGTTTTGCTAGATGCTGTTTCGCTAGATGCTGTTTCGCTGGATGCTGTTAAGATTGTGGGGTTGGTGCATTGTTGTGTTACACCGAGCAGGATGCGGTTGCCGATAAAATTGCTAAGAATGGAAGGAGTTGGCGAGTGCAAGGGAATGTCGTGACGGTGGCACGGTTGGTCGTGGGCCGAAACGTGGTTGCCACGTTCGGGCGCTACACCGAGATGCTGTGGTTTTGAGACTTATGAAATGCAGTTTTGACACGTACAAATCATGCACATCTGTCGCGACCTCGAGAGCGTGCATTATGGCTCGCAAAGAAGGGACAACCTACCGTACAAGGACTTTCTCTCGCAGCTGAAATGACCGCCGTGATCAGCGACAGAGAAAATCTTTGTGTGAGTGATCGGAAATGGAAGCAGCGTTATGCAGGATTCATGGTTCCTGCTGAGAGTTGTATTCGGTAGGAGCGTCGATCATCACAGGCAGGTTGAGAGATCATAGTTGTTTGAGTAAGTTGACTTTTGGTAAGAGATTGGATATTAGGGTTGCTATGACATTACAGTTCGTTAGCACACCGTGAAGTCGTCAATCAAACGAGCGATCTCAGAACCAACAACAGCTTTAGAGACATCGAACTACTCCACCCATGTCATGTCAAGCGTCGTCGTGAGGTAGAGCGCCGCACCGCGCCGCACTTAGAAGCTCGCAGGCTTCTTCTCGTCCTCGACGGGTGCGACGCTGATGCGCCTCTCGACATCCGCTGCCTGGTTGGCATTGCCAAGGTGACCGGTGGGCAACATGTTGAGCTGGTCTTCCTCCTTGTCCATCTTGCGGTAGGCGATCCAGAAGAGAACACCGGTGATGAACGAGATGATGGCGACACTACCGTAGTTCCAGACGACGAGAGGGTCGATGGTCAACGGGGTAAAGGCCTGGGCAAGAGCAGCGGAGAAAGCAGTGGTGAAGAGCTGGACAGCCATGACCAGAGACCTCATGTTCTTGGGGGCCTTGGTGAAAGCGTACTCGAGGGTTGTAACGGAAGCGAAGATCTCAGAGATGGCGATCAGAATGTAGACACCAGTAACGGCCCAAACGTTGATCGGAGACTTATATTCGGTGTTGGATGGGTCGTCGTAGTATCCAGAGGTCTTGTAGACGTAGTACTGGAGTACAGAGGCCCAGACCATAGAAAAGGAAGCGATGATGAAACCAGCGCAGATCTTCTTGAGGGGTGTGAACCTGATGCCCTTCTTGCGGAGGAACGGGTAAACGATAGTGTCCATAACTAGTAAACATGTTAGCATCGATATGTTGATTTGGGCAGTGAGTGAGCTTACTCGGCACAAGGATGATGATGGAGATAGGGTCCAAGTTGGCCAAAAGATCGTTAGGAACGCCGTGCAGAGCCATGGTGGAACACATCTGGGTCAAGTTGGAGTCCATCTGCCTGTAGGCGAGCCAGAAGATCGGAACCCAGAAGAAGACACCACAAGCGCGGAAACCACGGGCGACTTCGTCGACCCAGGCATCATCGAAGTTGTACCAGGAAGGCTTGTTGGCGCCCAGAGCAGAGGGCCTGATAGACTCCCACATTTTACCGTCGTTCCAGTTCTTAAAGTTCCTCGTACCGACAGCCTTAGCAAGGAGCTTGAAAGCAGGTCCCATGACGCTGCCACTTGGGGGACGCAGAATGTAGTGCTTCTTGCAGACGATTAGGACAGGCAGAGCGAGCAGGAAGAAGACAGTGGGGATCAGGTAGGACAGGTAGAAACCGACGTAACGTTCGGCGTACACCATACCGAGCTGACCGGCCAAGGCACCGATGTTAATAAACAAGTAGAAGTAGTTGTAGACACGAGTGACGGTAATGGCGGGGTCGATGATGACGCGCTTGCCATTCCTTTCCACAACTTGAAGCTTGTCTGTCTCAAGCTGCTCAACAATCAGAGGCGAGATGTTGGGCTTGAAAGTACCAGTTCCGAGTCCCATGACGAGCAATCCGATGATGAAGCAAGCAAGCGCACCCTTTTGGTTGTCCAGGACCGAGGGGATAGCAGAGGCGACGAGGATAATATGACCGATTTCAGCGATGATGACCGAGTAGAGAATAGTCTTGTAGCGTCCGAGGTAGGTGTCGGCGATCCAGGCTCCAAGGAGGGGGCAGCAGTAGACCCAGAAAGCGTTGAAGGTGGTCAGAGAGAAAGCAACTTGCTTGCCCATTCCAAGAGCACCGGGTTGAGCCTCGGCATCGCTAGGGTTCAATGCTGCACCAGTAGGGGTCGGCCTAGGCTTAGCGATGAAGTTGGAGTAGACTTGAACACAACCATAGTAGGACATGCGCTCGACGAGTTCGACAAAGGCGATGGTGTAGATTCTCCAAGGAATGGCAGCGCCAATGCGTTCGAGCGTGTCGAGCTCCTCTTTGGTGGGAAGGCTGTCATTGTCACTGAGGTAGCTCTCTTGGAGAGTGGCCTTGCCCTCAGTGAAAAGGAAAGGCGGCGCCTCGTCTGAGTGGAAGGCCGGGTTCTTGCGCTGTGGATCACCAGAGGCATCGATGAGAGCCGGGTCCAAGCCGACGGCTTGCTGCATGAATATGAGTACAAGCACGTGGAGATATATGGGGCACTGTGTGACCTACAACCGCGTCGTTGTCACCAACAGGCATGGTGATGGTCGTGCTACTGGGTAGACTTGGTGAGGGGGTGGTGTGTGGGGAGCGACAACGAAGAGAATATTCTTGGGGAGCCCAGGTTTACGTGTATTTGAAGTGAAAGCACGCAAAGCGTAGCTCGTGTGATGTGTGCCCAGACTGGCCGCCTGAGTGTGGCCGATCAGGAAGGAGGTCGTAATAGTAACAGATAAACGCCGTAACCTAGCTTTGATACGGCAGGTCTACATTGCCAATCGCCTTGCCACCGCCATTCATTTTCCCCAATTCACCCAGCCGCGTGCGCGATAACTGCTGCAACCTCATCCGCGCGCGCCAATCACCGCCCAGAAGCGAGTTGATGCACAAGCCTCGGTAAGATACACGAAAGGCGCCGACAAGACCCTCTAAGCAGCGGACGAGAGGTCTTGGAAAGCTTTGCACCGCCAAGGGGTCGTGAAGATGTGGATGTTGAGGTTGCGCGCAGCTCCTTTGTCCACCTCTTTCGCCTCATACCCATTGCGGTCTGCATTCCAACCATGAGATTCGACTGCGAACGGCCATCAATGTCTCCCAACACCGCAATACCGCAACCTTGAAGGATGCGCAACAGTACTCTTGGCGTTATTACGCTCCGCCCGTATTTCCTTGCTCCTTCCTATTGCGGGGAGCCAAAACAAAGCGTGGCGCTGGCCAGAATGCTTACGTCGGAGTAGTTGACGTTATAGGGCTAGTCGTAGAACACACACCTTCGATGGAGTTTCGACCATCGCCAAAGCGGGCACACCCCGCTCTCGCTAGTCAACAGCATATTTTGTTGTCCATCGGCGCGGTCAGCTGCGACAGTAGCTAATTATGACTTGTTAGACGCGTTTTAGTAGTAACATATATTGCGGAGCGTGTATGAACCACTTGTGTCGGCGTCGACTTCCATTTTACGTTGCGATGATAAGTTTTGTGGCCGACTTGGTCTCAGAGAAAGGGTAGCTAGCATGCAGCACCCGTCCGTGATACACACGCTGCATGCAGCAGAGCGCTTAGGAGCGGTTGATGAAGGCGCCACTATCTTCGATGGTTTGAGGGACTGTCATGCTTCCTCATTTTGGAATGCCAACACGATTGAAACACGGCTGGAAGTCGTGATATCGTTCGATTTGAATTCTTCTGCCCGTGATTCGATGCACAGAAGCCAGGAAGTTGGGTATTTGGCACATGCTCTCGGTTCGCCCGTTCCGGAGGCGTAGCACAAGCTTTTCTCAGTGGCAACTGGGCTTGCGCGCTTGTGTGAGTTTGTAGGCGGCTTACACAGGCTTCTGTCCATCGCCAGTCGCTCTGTTACATCGGTGCCGTTCTTGTTGATTGCGTAAAAGATCCGCGGGATGTGCTGGTCGGTGTAGCTGTTTTTTGAAGTTCTTCATCACATTGAGGAGCGATCTACACCGTCCTGTCAGTACTTCGCATGTTGTTGCAAGGCTGCTGGCGGTGGGTCCTGATCCTTGCGAAGACGGTTAACTGAACAACAGCCATTGACGCAGTCCTGTGTCACTCAATCGACGCCAGTCATCGAAGGTCCTCGGGGGTCATTTTGCAGCCTGGACACATTACTTCGCTCGTCCCTTCTCGATATATCGGAGCTTACCATGCTATGACGGTTCTGTTGAGATAGTGCAGCAACTCACGCTTGCGCAGGGTGTTGCTCTACTTCATCCTTGATGTCAACGACGTCAACGCGTCGAAGCAACAACACCTTGAGGCAATCATACTTGCACCACGATCTAGTATACAACAGAACGGTCGTCCCTCGCATTTCTTGGTCTCATGCTTGCCATGAAAAATAAATCTAATGAGCTTTGTACGGCAATGCATATGTACTACTGACGATGACGATAGTCAACATAGGCTTTGGGTACTTTTGGAGTGCAGAACACCGCACGATCATACCCGGACAACGATACTCCTTCTGTTGAGGATTGTGAGTGATCAGTACGCATGTGCGAAAATATTGAGGGATTGAACTGAGGTTGTATTGGGTGAAGCTACAGACAGTATGTATAGGTGAGTAGCTGTAAACAACGCTAGTGTGACGTGGCAGTCAATCTCATGGCAGGTGAGGTTTGACAGGCAAGAGCGCCCTGAACCGTGACACCCCCCCCCCCAGCTGCTGTAGACTCAGAAGTGGAGAGTCAACAACAGCTGATCAGTATTGGCTCAATGTATATAGATAGCGTTAAGGTCATCGCCATCAACCTGACGCAGGCCATTTAGGTGCTCAGTGATATCAACAAGGCCAAGTTGGCGGACAAATTCTGTGAACTTCTGCTTTGGTAGTATCTTTGTGAGTCCGTCAGCAGGCATATGATCAGTAGGAACCCATTGAACATTGATGCGTGAGGCAGTGACCTCCTGTCGTACCCAGAGTTGGTGGGTATCAACCTGTTTGACCTTTGTTGTTAAGCTGGCTAGGGGTGGCACGGGTAGATGACAATATAGTAGCAAGAAGTGTATATTGAGGGTAAGGATAGACTGATCACTGCCGATTTGCAGTGGAAAAGAACTTCTATTTATTCCCCGCTACTTATGCAGGGGCTATTAGCCTCTGGTGGGCCACCAACCTGACAATGCCTCCCTTCTTTGGAGTTGACGACCTGGCAACAGGTAACAATAGTTGAGTCAACACCTAGGTGGGTAAATTGGACCAATTTATGATAATTGATGGCCAGCGTGGTAAGCGGACGGTAGCGTGATTCCTGTTTTCCTCTTGGCCTTGAGATGTTCACCAGTACCAATAGCTGTTGCTCTCACCTTCACCTTCACTTCTAAGTAGAAGTCCTCCAGCTCATCCACAAGTATGTTGTTGAAGTCGTGTCTTAAGCAAAGCTCGTAGACACTATTCGATTGGTTCTCGGGGATGAGCAGAGGTACAGAAAGCCGTCGGGGGTTGGTTATCACTGAGCGAGCTCGATTGATTGATTGATTGATTGATTGATTGGTTTAACGTCCTATCTGAGTCTAAGACTATGGAAGA